GAGAAAGGATGACTTTTTTCATAAATGGCACTGGGTTCACTAGCTATCCAGTAAAAATACTAATCTTAGACACAAAAGTCAATGAGGGTATGGATTATAGATCCATAAATGCTATAGAAAAAAGCTATAGAAGAAAACAAAAAATGTCTTCATGACCTAAGATAGGCAAGTCACAAAAAGCAGAAAGAAAAAGGTGGTAATTTTGCATTAAAATTAAACACTTAGTAAATTCAAGTAATTCTTAATAAAGTATTTATTGCCTCTCCATTGCATGTTAGAATTAAAGATTCAGTGGTGAGCAAAACAGACGTTGTCCCTGGCCTATGTAAAAGAGCTTTAAGTTTAACGAGATGAGACAAAGAAATAGTCAGCTCTGAAGAGGCTATTCTGGGAAATATGTGCAGTGGTGTAGCAGTGTCACCTCACCCCTGGGGAATTGAGGGATGCCTTTCCAGAGTAAGTGCCCATGAGGCTGAAGTGAAGGATGATGAGTAGCAGTTATCCAGATCCATACTAGGGAGAAGAGAGGCAACGCTGAGGGAACAACTGAGGAAAACTCCTTTGGGTAACATTTTAAAGTCTGAAGTGTGCTCAGTATGGCTGGAGTACCAAATCAGAGTGACCAGAGATAAAACCAGAGAAGCAGAATCTATATCATGAGGAGCTCTGTAAATTTTAAGGAGTATGATTTACCCCCTCATGGGAGGCTAAATAAGCCATTGAAGAGTCTAAACCATGACAAAACCTGAAAAAAATAAGTTGGCATTTTAGATAAAACAGACTGGATATGTTGCAAATAGGTTAGAAATTAGGCAGAGGAGAGGCAGTAGGCCAGGGAAGACCAGATAGTGGCCTGACTAGAATATGACAGTGGGAAGATAGATAAAAGAGATTTATAAAAGAGAATTGATAGTCTTGGAAATTAGTTAGCTATTGTGAAAAACCAAGAATGGTCATTAAAATGAAAATCAGAAACCACAAAATTTGATACCATTTTAATCTTAGGTTGACTGTAATAAAAAAAATAGTAAGTGTTGAAGTGGATAAATGATACCCTCTCTATTGGTAGGGGATGCTGCTGCTTTTGAAAACAGTTTCTCAAAATGTGAAGCATGGAGTTGCTCAGTGATTTGGCATCTCCACCCCTAAGTGAAACGAAAACATATGTTCACATAAAAGCTTGTATGCAAATGTTTATAGCAACATTATTTCTAATAGCCAAAAGTTGACACAGCTGAATGTCTGCTAGCCGATAAATGTGTAAATAAAATGTGGTAAATCCATACAATAGGATACTACTCAAAAAATAAAGAGAAATCGAGTGCAAATATATGGTACACCATGGATAAGCCTTGAAAACATGCTAAATGGAAACAGAATGAAAGAAGAAAATAGGTTAAATGAAAAACTACAACAGACTACTTAGTACATAATTTCATCTGTATGAAATCCCAATGGTAGGTATAGTCCATGGAGATGAAAAATTGGTTAGTGGTTACCCAGGTCAGAGGATGGGGAAAAACAGGGAGTAACTGCTCATGACAATGGGATTCCTTTTTGGGTGATGAAAGTTTTATGAAGTTTATTATGGTGATGTTTGCACTGCTCTGAATATTCTAAAAACCATTGAAGTACACAATTTAAATGGGTGCATTGTGTCATATATGGATTATATTTCAATAAGACTGTTCTTTTTAAAAAATAATTATTTCAAGCTGGTGCCGCGGCTCACTAGGCTAATCCTTCGCCTGCAGCACCGGCACCCCGGGTTCTAGTCCCGGTTGGGGCGCCGGATTCTGTCCTGGTTGCTCCTCTTCCAGTCCAGCTCTCTGCTGTGGCCCGGGAGTGCAGTGGAGGATGGCCCAAGTCCTTGGACCCTGAACCCACATGGGAGACCAGGAGAAGCACCTGGCTCCTGCCTTCGAATCAGCGTGGTGTGCTGGCCGCAGCAGCCATTGGGGGTGAACCAATGGGTGCAGCACGCCAGCCGCAACACACCGGCCATAGCGGCCACTTGAGGGATGAACCAATGGAAAAAGGAAGACCTTTCTCTCTGTCTGTCTTTCTGTCTGTCTCTCTCTCTCTCTCTCTCGCTAACTCTGCCTGTCAAAGTAATAATAATAATTACTTCAATGTTCTCTATCTTGGGAATTGTTTTTTATGAGCTATATCATTATTTATGATACTGAAGGGGAGTAGAGGGATGAGTTCATTTTGAGATTTGTTACATTTGAGAGATTTACAAGAAATTTTAGTAAAGATAATACAGGGGTTGAGCTATATATGTCAAGAATTTAGAACTCGATCTACACTGAAAATACACATTTGCAAGTCACTCAAAAAAAGGTGGCAGCAAAGAGAAGAGCACCTAGAACAAAACCCTGAGAAAGACCAATATTAAATAAGGACAGAAAAAGGAAAACAAAGCCTGCAAAAGACAATGAAAGAGCATAGCCAAGGAGGAAAATCTGAAGTATAGAATATAATGGAAGCTAATGAAAGGTTGTTTTAAGAAAGATGGTGTAGTCAGCTGTGTGAATATTATTGATAGGTAAGATAAGGAGGTTATTGGTGATACTGGAAGAACAGTAGTGGGAATAAAAATAAGATTGCAGCAAGTTGAGAAATACATGGGAGATAAGGAATTCAAAATAAAATTTGTATGTGAAGAGGACAAAGTAAGATTATTGGGAATGTAGGGCACAGAGGTTTTTTGTTTTTTTCTCTAAGGAGGGAGGTGCTTTTAAGATTCAGCTTGAATTTGTTGCTATTACAAATAAGCCAGTGGGCAAAAAGATCTCTGTGAGTGAGATCCCAGTGGAAAGAACAGGTCTTCAAAGAGGGAGGTGCCTTTCTCTGAAGGGAGGAGAGAACCTCCACTTTGACTATGACCTTGTCTAAACAAGATAAGAGTCGGAGAACTCAAGGGGCTTCCATAGCCTTGGAAACTCATGACTGGTGCATAGGGAGATTATTGATGCCATAAACAGGAGTGTCAATTTGTAAAGTCAACAACAGGAGTCACTGTGCACTTACTCCTCATGTAGGATCTCTGTCCTTAATGTGCTGTACACTGAGGCTTAATGCTATAACGAGTACTCAAACAGTATATTTCACTTTGTGCTTCTATGGGGGTGCAAACGACTGAAATCTTTACTTAATGTACACTAAACTGATCTTCTGTAAAAAAAAAAGAAATTATCAATTCCCAACTTGACTCTCACTGGGATTAAACATGACAATAGGTCTGATCTGATTTCATCATGATTTAAAAAAAAAATCATCTATTATTTTTCACTTTATGTTTCTGTGTGGGAACAAACTGTTGAAATCCTTACTTAAGGTATACTAAGCTGATCTTCTGTATATTAAGATAATCGAAAATGAATCTCGATGTGAATGGAAGGGGAGAGGGAGTGGGAAAGGGGAGGGTTGTGGGTGGGAGGGACGGTATGGGGGGGAAAGCCATTGTAACCCATGAGTCGTACTTTGGAAATTTATATTCATTAAATAAAAGATAAAAAAAAAAAAAAAAACAAATAAGCCAGTGGGGAAGAGGTTGTAGACACCCAGAAGATAATCTCTGAGGTGAGATTTCTGACAGTGTTAAAGGGAATCGGAACACATGTAGGGGAATGAACTTTTAAACAGGATGGAATCTTTTTCCATGATAATGAGAGTGATGAAGAAAAAAGGACAAATAGAAAAAAATGTTTGCTAAGACATTAAGGGAATTCTTGACTGAGTGCCTCCTATATTCTCATTGAAATAAAAGGTTAGATCACCTGTTGTGATTTAGTAAGGATGTTTGTAGAAAGTGGAGAAAGTTTGAAGTAGCTGCAGAACATTGCAGAGAATACTAGTGAAACACAGTTGGACTGGCAGTCACTACTGAAAGCCCAATTGAAATGAATGATCTTTTGTAGTAATACCAGCCTGCCCATTAGAAGATTTTCCTTCAGCTGGGTACAGATTGGCCAAGTCTAGGCTATGGGCAGTACCGGCTCCTGGCCTCTTTTTGTAAACAAACTGTTACTGGAACACAAATAGCTCTTTTTTTCTCTATGGTTGCTTTGGTTCTACAATGGCAGAGATGAATATTGGTCCTCAAAGCCCCTATTTCTTTATGGAAAAAGTTCCCAGGGCCTTGGTAGACACACCTGGCTTTGGTGTGAGGAAGCAACCATTTCAAGTCATCCAGGGTCAAGATCTTGAAAAGTGAAAGGATCATGAAAAAGAACACTAGCAATTAACAAGTAGTGAATATTGGAATTGAAACTGGAAAGAGAAAGAAATGGACACAAGGGACTGATGGGGTCCCAGAGTTTATTCAGATATTTTGAGGGTTCTTGCAGGGGAGAGGACAGATGATAGACTGTTGCAATGCATGATGTCAGAGGAGGAGCGTTCTGAGATTGTATGGTGCTGAGAGGCAGGTTGCCGGCTAGACCATCCATGTGGATGCCGAAATCTCCCACAGTGATCAGGTTTTGGGGCTAACGTTGTGGCACAACAGGTTGTGTTACCATCTGCTACACCAGCATCACATGTAAGTGCCAGTTCAAGTCCTGGCTGCTCTACTTCAAATCCGGCTCCCTGCTAATGAGCATGGGGAGGCAGCAGAGGATGGCCCAAGTATTTGGGCCCCTTCCAACCATGTGTGAGAACTGAATGGAGTACCTGGCTTTTGGCTCAGCCTGGCCCTGCCCTGGGTGTTACAACTACCTGGGGAACCAGTACATGAAACATTTTTTTCTCTCTCTCTCCCTATTTTGTCTCTCTTTCTGTGTAACTCTGCTTTTCAAATAAATAAATAAACAAATCTTTAAAAAATAATAGTTAAAAAAATAATCAGGTTTGGGAGGTACTATATCCCTATGTTTAATTTAAATTATTAACAATTTAAAAATAGCTAAAAGTATGGAAAAACTAAATAGAAAATTTATTGCTTTGTTTTTATAATTTCAACTTACACTTTTAAATTTTCTTTTGATTATCAGACTGCAGATGTATTTAATTTTGAGGAAACAGTTTATAGCCATCACATGTCTCCAGTCGCCACCAGGCATTGCTTGGTAGCAGGTTTGTACAAGTTGTCTTTTTAAAATTTTTTTTTAACATTTACGTATTTATTTGAAAGAGTTACAGAGAGAAAGAAACAGAGATTTTTTTTAATCTTTTTTTTTTTTTTAAGATTTATTTTATTTGTTTGAAAGGAGAGTTAGAGAGAGAAAGATAGAGAGATTTTTCTATCCACTGGTTAACTCCCCAAATGGCCACAACAGTCAAGGCTGGGCCCAGCCAAAGCCAGGAGCCAGAAGCTTCATCCAAGTCTCCCAAGTGGATTGTAGAGGCTGAGAGAGAGAGGGAGAAAGGGAGGGTGGGGATAGATAGAGGGACAGAGGGAGATCTTCCATTTGCTGGTTCACTCCCCAGATGGCCACAATGACTGGGACTAGGCCAGAGAACGTAGGAGCAGGGTTCAGGGGCCCAAGCATTTGAGCCTCCTGCTGCTGCTTTCCCATCCCATTAGCAGGGGTTGGATTGGAAGTAGAGCAGCCAGGACACAAGTCAGTGCCCATGAGATCAGCGCTGTGTCACAGCAGATTAAGTCACAGCCTGCAGCACTGGCATCTCATATGGGTGCCAGTTCAGGTTCCAGCTGCTCCTCTTCCAACCCAGCTTCCTGTGAATGTGCCTGGGAAAGCAGCAGAAGATGGCTCAAGTGCTTGGGCCCCTGCACCCACATGGAAGAAGCTCCTGGCTCCTGCCTTCAGCCTGGCCTAGCCCTGTCAGTTGTGGCCATTTGGGGAGTGAACCAGCAGATAGAAGATTTCTCTATATATTTCTCCTTCTCTCTCTCTCTCTGTAACTCTGCTTTTCTTTCTTTCTTTCTTTTTTTTTTTTTTTTTTTTGACAGGCAGTTAGAGAGAAAGGTCTTTCTTCCGTTTGTTCACCCCCCACATGGCCGCTATGGCCAGAGTGCTGTGCTGATCCGAAGCTAGGAGCCAGGTGCTTCCTCCTGGTCACCCATGCGGGTGCAGAGCCAAGGACTTAGGCCATGCTCCACTGCCTTCCCGGGCCACAGCAGAGAGCTGGCCTGGAAGAGGGGCAAATGGGACAGAATCCGGCGCCCCGACCAGGACTAGAACCTGGTGTGCCGGCGCCACAGGCAGAGGATTAGCCAAGTGAGCCGTGGCGCCGGCCTATTAACTCTGCTTTTCAAATAAATAAATAAATAAATAAATCTTTTAAAAATAAAATTATTAAAAAAAAAATCAGCGCCCATAACAGCTTTACTCACTATACCACAATGCTGGCCCCTTCTTTTTACTGTAACGTATTGAAAATTTCTCCCTTTAAATCTACTTAGGTTTGATATAAATGTTTTAACTGAAATGAAGATCACAATTTTACTTTCTAAAAAAGCAAATATATGCTACAATTTATATTCAATTCAACAGATATTGTACAAATCAGGCAATGTGTTAGTAGCTAGGAATAAATGATTAGAAGCATATTTCTGTCCACTATGGAGTTACTTTTAAATCACCAAAGTTTTAAAGGTTTTACTTGAACAAATAAGGTGGTTTTTCCAGTTTGACACAATAAAATGTGGAAGTTACTTCCTTCTAAGATTTTGATTCAAATTAAACATCCATTTTTATGAAAGCACCTGCAGCAGTAACCTTCACATACAGGCTAGGTGTTGGCCTACCTGAATAACGTCACTTAGGACTGGCCACATCTCACAACCTGGGTGCTTGGTTCACTGCCCACCTCTGGCTCCTGAGTTCCTCTTTGTTGCTGATGTAAACCTTTTGAGACAGCAGTGATAGCTCAGTTAACTGGGTTCCTGCCACCCACAGGCAGGACTTGGATTGAGTTCCATCTCCCTGCTTCAGCCTTGTGGGCATTTGGGGAGTGAACCAGTAGACAGAAGTGTTTCTCTCTCCCTCTCTCTTTGACTTTCAAATAAATAACATACATACATACATATGTTATATATGGCATAAATAACATATGTACATGTGTAATGTTCATACATAAGGAAGAATAAATGTTTTTGTGTTATCAATTCCCCGATTACATTATTTCTTTGTATTATGTGAGTCTCTTTGCCTCTTGACATCAGTTACCTACTTCATCTATAAGGAACAATTTGTTTTTGAAGTCTTTCAGTCTGTGTCCAGAATTTCTGTGCATCTATTACTAGTAGCTGGAAATATATCATTAACTTGGAAAAATTAAGCTATTGAAATAAAATGATATAATGTGATAAGGTGGTATGAAGTTATATAAATTTAATTTTCTATCTAAATTTTCTGTTTTTTATATTGTACTTTAGTTACTTCACATACAAAGGGATTTCAAAAAGTTCATGGAAAATGTGTGTTATTAAAAAAAAGTATGGATTTCAAAAGTTTTTGTGCCAAGATTAAGCTTAATCTTTTAATTCTACTTTTTCACAGAACTTTCTGAATCTCCTTCATGTAGTTATCAGGGAAGCCCAGGTATTACAGACTACCTTTGTACCTTCTTGTGAATCTACAATTATTTCAAAATAAAAATTAATGTAATAACAGTTCTGTTACTAGCTAGGTATAGCCATATTAAAATATGATTTCTAATAAACATTTTATTTTAAATCATTGGTGTTTATTTTTATATTACTACATGGATACAGTGAAAATGTCATGATTTCTAATGGTTGTCTTGTTTCTTTTTGTAGATAATTTATAATAAAATTTTCTTAAAATGCTTTTGTTTTTGTTTTTGTAGTTGGTACTAGAGGGCCGAAAGTACAACTTTGTGACTTAAAGTCGGGATCCTGTTCTCACATTCTACAGGGTATTTTTTTTTATTTGAAACAACTACTACTTTGAGTAGACCATTCAATAAAAAGAAGCATTATTAACAATGTATTCTTTGTAAGTGACATGACTGATGTATTTTGTGCTATTTGTTAAAGTCAACAGGGAAATAAAGGTCCTTCTGTGCATTTTTCTTATAAAACTGAACTATTGAAGAGAAATTTATATATGCACAGTGGCTGTTGGAGAAACTCAAAGGATATAGAAAATAGATCTAACTCAAAACCTTGTTATTTCTACATTTTAAAAAATGTGCACCAAGGAAGCTTACATCATTACATTTATGTCATGAGCATTGTTTAATTATTGTCTGGCTAATAAGTTAGCATTGTTATTAATAGTTAGCTGAATTTTTCCTCGAATATTTTAGGAAAGATTGAAATGATGCTTTGATAAAGGTATATTATTTAAATTGTCTTTACTATGTTTTATCAATATTAAATTATCTAATTCTAAACAATGAAAAAATGGAACATTGTTCAGGAACACCAGGAATCTTGACAACCTTAATGGAAAATATACATTACCCTTTAATTCCACTTTTTCATGAACATTTTAAAGTCACCTCAGATACATTTTTTATTCATCTCTGAGAAATATATATTAAATGTATCAAAGGAATTTGGTGAGATGGATAGCATTTTTTCTTACATTATCATGAATTTTTATTAATACAAGCTATGCAGATGAAAAGTCTGGTTAAGTAAAAGTGTACTAAAATATTGAAATCCCTTATCCTGTGAACTTATAACCTGTGCTCTCTAGAGAAAAATTTATGTAAATTTCTTTTATGATCAAAAATTGAAGTGCTTTATTTTTATTATAATTTTATAACAAATGTAAAGCTTTTATTCTTTAAAATGTTTATTTTGTGTGTTTTTTTGCTGTGACTTTTTGTTATAGAGATAATTAATTAAATTTGAGTTAAATGGATTAACTGATGCTGGATAAGAACTGTATTTAAAAAGAAAAAAACACTTGCTGTATTGTTATTTCCAAACCCCAATCAGACCTTTTATAATAAATGGCTGTATGTTAAGACTCCTCTATAGACTTTACATTAGCTCTTTAACAAATTATTATAAATATTTTAATATGTAGTCTCATTTTCATGAGAATCAGATAAAATTATTAGCACTTTGCCATATGATTTTTCAGAAATTTTGCAAGACTTTTCATAGAGTTGTATTTGCAGGTCACAGACAGGAAATACTGGCAGTTTCCTGGTCACCACGCTATGATTATATCTTAGCAACTGCAAGGTAAATTGCACTTTCAAATGGTTTTGAAGTTAATGTTAGTAATTAATATTTTTTAAACTACATTTAGGTAAGATACATTTTTTAATACATTTAGTTGCTAGCCCCATAGAAATAAAATATTAAATTGAGAATTATAACTGATATCATCGCAATAAGTCTTCCTTTGTATCATAACTAGCCCTGGCTATCCATCTTGATGATGTTCACCTTTTAGAACAAGGAGAAAACATGAGAATCTATGTAGTAGTGCAAATCTGTGAGCACTACTGGTCAAACAACTATCTTGTATCATTTTGCACGCAGAAGTATAACACTCTGTTAATTTAAAAATACTAGAATTTTTATTCATTTTTTACTAACCAGAATTATTTTGCATCTGATACAACACATTCATTAATTCAGGAAGAAAGATAAGAAAAGTTTAATTACTTAACAGCTATAGGCCAAACCAAAAGGGCTTCATTCCACATTCCAGATTATATGTTAAAACCATGACAGAAAATTAGCCAATCCCCAGGCACCTTGCTTGCTTACAAGTTCAACCAAGCCAAAAGCAACAAGTACTTCTCCTTAATGTCTGTCCTCCTGGCCCAAAACTTCCCCCACTTCTTGTTATTTCACTCCTCTTATCTATAGCCAACAATAGGGTCAATGTAAACAACTTGGGCTTTCTCTCCCCAAATTTTCATTGTAAAAATGCTCTTGGCTGTTAGTCTGGTGGAAACATTCCCAATTGCTATCTAGCCTTGTTTCAGAAGTTGCAGGAACTGGTCCCAGGACCTGGTCCTTTGCTGACTAGGATCTGTAACAGTTCAATAAGCTCTTTGTTTTAGACATTCCTTGTTATCAAGAGTGTTAGTTTAACATCCTGTGCCAAGAGTTGTGCTAGAAACACAGAGTAACCAGTGTTCCAAGAAGCTAATAATCTTGGCATGAGGGATGTAGTTAGAAAATGAGTACTTATTCTTGCTGAAAATTGCGTTAGTAGCAGTACATTTTTGTTAGGTATAATATAAGATAAGAAAGCAGCACTTAATAGAATCAAAAAGTTTTGGGGGATTTTGTGTGTTAGAGGAAAGAATATTATATATTTATATACTCTGGAGAAAGTACCAATAGAAATAGTGAAGATTGGCCAGCGCCACGGCTCACTAGGCTAATCCTCCGCTGGGTTCTAGTCCCGGTCGGGGCGCCGGATTCTGTCCCAGTTGCCCCTCTTCCAGGCCAGCTCTCTGCTGTGGCCCGGGAGTGCAGTGGAGGATGGCCCAGGTACTTGGGCCCTGCACCCCACGGGAGACCAGGAGAAGCACCTGGCTCCTGGCTTCGGATCAGCGCGGTACTCCGGCCGCGGCGGCCATTGGAGGGTGAACCAACGGCAAAAGGAAGACCTTTCTCTCTCTCTCTCTCTCTCACTGTCCACTCAGCCTGTTCAAAAAAAAAAAAAAAAATTGTGAAGATCAGAGCTTGTGGCATGTGCAGCAAGTTAAGTTGCTGCTTGTGTCACCTGCATCCCATACCAGTGCCAATTTGAGTCCTGGCTGCTCCACTTTTGGTCTAGCTGCCTGCTAATGTGCCTGGGAAAGCACTGAAGATGGCCTAAGTGCTTCAGCTTCAGCACTCACATGGGAGACCCAGATGAAGCTGCTGACTCTGGCCTGGCCTAACCCGGGCCATTGCAGCTATTTGGAGAGTGAATCAGCAGATGGAAGGTACTTTCTTTGTCTCTCTCTCTGTCTCTGTCTCTCTATAACTCTGCCTTTCAAATAAAATAAGTAAATCTTAAAAAATAGACAACAAAGGAAGAGTAAAGATAAGAAATGGAGGGAATAGTTGTATCAGGAGCTTGAGAAGACAAGAAGGTAGTATCAAGGGTAGTGTAAAGAAAGGGGACACTTGATTTCACATGTGGAGGGTGCTGTGATTCTAAATGGAAGAAGGAAAAGGTAGAAATGAATATAGTTAGGTTTGTAGCTGAGGCAGAGAAGCTTGAGAAATTCAAACCTAGTGGCCTCTATTGTTCTTTAATGGAATAGGACTTGACGTCTTCTGTTGAAAGTGAGAGGATGGGGATATGATTTTTGAGGAAAAAGCAAAGATCTGAAATAACAGATCGATTGGAAGAGAGGTCTGATTCATAGCACATAGGATTGCTAGGTAGATGTACACAGTTGAAGGTGTACTAAGCCACAGAAATCAAAACATTAACAATTTTTGGCGTTTAAAAGAAAGTGCCTCTTCGTCTGAAAATTGTTGAAGTCATGTGTGCAAGGAAGGAAATAAAATCACAGAAAGACTTGTAGGGTGATCAAGGGCCTAATGAGATAGAAGTATTAATTTTAGGGTAAGAAAATTCAAAAATAAAAGGGATAGGAAATAGTAATAAAAAATCTTGATATAAACATTTTATAAAGCTTTTTGTAAAAAGGTTATTACAAAAGCTACTTAATACTAGTTTTATAAAGATCTGTGTCTGTATTTTTTAAAGAATTATTTGTTTATTTCAAAGGCAGAGAGAGAGAGAAATATCTTCCTCCACTGGTTCACTCCCCAAATGGACGCAGTGGCTGGAGCTGGATTGGTATGAAGCCAGGAGCTTCTTCTGGGTGCACTTCCCACTTGGATGCAGGATCCAAGCAAGTACTTGGGCCATCTTCCACTGCTTTCCCAGGCCATTAGCAGAGAGCTGGATCAGAAATGGAGTAGCTGGGACTCCTGCTACGCCACACCACCAGTAGCCCTGAAAGAACCTTGTGTTAATAGTTTACAGAATATGATGTTGACATTTACAGTTTCTGAAGTACACCAAGGTCTAGAATACAACTGTAAGAAGGCTAGTTGACAAGATATGGTGAGGAGACATGCTGGGTATGGATCCCTGCTAGGGTGTGTTTACATTGTTTGTGCTTAACTTTCTTTAAATCATAGAGGAGGTAAGAAGGTTTTAGTTCTCAGGATACCCCAGAAATTTTAATCAGAAACAGAATGAATCTTTCAGTGTTGAGTTGGACATGCCCAAATCTAATCTGTTTCAGACATTTTTTTCAACTGAAAATAAAGAAAACTGACCTGGGAATGGGAAACACTAACTTTTGGCTGACTATTCCAGTGGACAGGTTTGATAGTGATCTTTGAAAAGAACCAAGCTTACAGAAATGAATAAACTGTGAATACAGGTTGAGCATCCCTTAGCCAGAAATCTAACATGCTCCAAAATCCATGCTCAAAAAATTTTAGATTTTAGACCATTTCTCGTTTCAGATTTTGATTTTTCAGTTTAGGGTTTCTCAGCTGGTAAAGGCTATGCAAATATTACAAAATATGAAACTCTTCTGGGTCCAAATATTTTAGAGAAAGGATACTCAACCCATATATTAAAAAGAGATTTACAATTTTTTCGTTCCTGGCTGCCAGAGGATATACTGCCATCATGAAGAACACAGCAACTATCTGGACAAGGAGGTTCATGACCAACCAAATATTTCAGAGCAAAACTGTGGTCATGGATGTCCTTCACCCCAGGAGGGCAATAGTGCCTAACAGAAACGGGGAAAACTAGTCAAGTTGTGCAAGACCACATCAAATTTCATCTTTGTGTTTCGATTCAAAACCCATTTTCGGCTGGCGCCGCGGCTCACTAGGCTAATCCTCCGCCTAGCGGCGCCGGCACACCGGGTTCTAGTCCTGGTCGGGGTGCCGGATTCTGTCCCGGTTGCCCCTCTTCCAGGCCAGCTCTCTGCTGTGGCCAGGGAGTGCAGTGGAGGATGGCCCAGGTGCTTGGGCCCTGCACCCCATGGGAGACCAGGAGAAGCACCTGGTTCCTGGCTTCTGCCATCGGATCAGCGCGGTGCGCCGGCCGCAGCGCGCCGGCCGCGGCAGCCATTGGAGGGTGAACCAACGGCAAAAGGAAGACCTTTCTCTCTGTCTCTCTCTCTCTCACTGTCCACTCTGCCTGTCAAAAAAAAAAAAAAAATTAAAAAATTTTAAAAAACCATTTTCATGGTAGCAAGAAAACTGGCTTTGCCATACTTTACAATTCCTTTGATTATGCAAATAAAAATGAACCCAAACTTGCAAAAAGGCCTTAATGAGAAGAAAAAGACCCTAAGAAAACAGCAAAAAGAACGCAAGAACAGGTTGAAGAAAGTCAAAGGGCCTGCGAAGGTCAATGTTGTTGCTGCCAGGAAATGAGCTTGAGGAACATTGCACAATATATACGTATAAGGAAGTATCATGTAGTTCCCCATAATTATGTATAGCTTTTATATGTCTGTTCATCAGTTAAACTAACTAGGGGCACATAGATTGTGAGATTTTTCTTTAGGAGTTGAGCCTAAAACTGACATGTAATTACGGTTTTGCCTTTCTTCACTTTTTTGAAAATGAAAATAGATATCTAATTACTAGGCAACATAAAATAAAGTTCTCATGTAAATTTTGCCAAAGATTGAGTATAGAAAACCAAATGAAAATACTTTGCTCTCATTATTCACTTCATTCTCATTTTTTAATTAGATTTTTTTTAAAAGCACCAAACCCTTGCTGAATGGATTTTAAGCAAAGTAAAATTAGTTAACTGTTGATTTTTCTGGACAACATTTGAATAACAGAAAAGATGTAGTAACACACAGGCGTTAAGCCTGTGTAGCCCTTCGAGGACAAGATGCTCATGTCTTTAAAAACAATAACATCAAAAGCAGAAGAATTTTGTCCCATGATCTGAAAAACAAAAGTTACTTTTTTGTTATTTTTCACTTATTTGTGCTATTGTCACCTATTGAATATTTGTGCTAATTTGGCCTTTTGTGTGTCTAAATGCTGGAAAGGTAGGTGACTATCCTAGCTACATATGTCAATATAAACATTTATTTCCTCTCAGTGCTGACAGCAGAGTAAAGTTATGGGATGTGAGGAGAGCATCGGGATGTCTGATTACTCTTGATCAGCATAATGGGGAAAAGTCACAAGCTGTTGAATCAGGTAATGAAGGATGCATTAATATAGAAATGTGATAGTTGATGGTTTTATACTGAAGATTTTTAATAATGTAAGAAACTTATATTGACAAATTGCAAAAAAATGTTTTTTTAGAAAGATATTTCACCATATACTAAATTACCGTTGTCTTCTTTAAGATAGAAATAAGTATGGCAGTTTAAATAGCATCTTAATTTTCCAATGTAGAAACTTCTCTGGTTAACTTGCTTTACTAATTTTTTGCCCACAGTGAAGCTAACTGTACTGATTCAATGCCACTTAGAAAGCCACAATAATTACAGAAACAGTAACATTTTCTGCCATTGTGTCAGTATAAATACTGCAAGTTGTAATAAATATGTGACCATGTACCTGAATTACATTTTTACAATAAAATTTAATTTCTGTGTAAAAAATCTGATTCAAAATTAACTCTGGACTAGAAATATATTATAATATACTGTATGAGGGGCCAGCACTGTGGCGCAGTGGGTTAATGCCCTGGCCTGCAGTGCCAGCATCCCATATGGGTATCAGTTCGAGACCCGGCTGCTCCACTTCTGACCCAGCTCTCTGCTGTGGCCTGGAAAAGCAGTGGAAGATGGCCCAAGTCCTTGGGCCCCTGCACCCATGTGGGAGACCTGGAGGAGGCTCCTGGCTCCTGGCTTTCAGTTGGCACAGTTCCAGTCCTGTGGCCAACTGGGGAGTGAACCAGTGGATGGAGGACCTCTCTCTGCCTGTCCTCTCTCTGTGTAACTCTTTCAAATAAATAAATATTTTTAAAAAAGAATAAACTGTATGAAATCTGTGTTTGCTTTAATATTTTTAATTGAATTAGGCTATTGAGAATTATGCTTTCTCAAACGTATTCATTTTGAAAATGTTACAATTTTGATTGAGACTGAAATAGTTATCTTTTCCCTGTTAAAGTCTTTTTAATAAGCAACAGTAATCTTACTGATTTCTTTATTTTTTTTAAGATTTTATTTTTATTTATTTATTTGAGAGGTAGAGTTACAGACAGAGGGACAGAGAAGGTCTTCTGTCCACTGGTTCACTCCCCAAATGGCCGCAATGGCCGAAACTGAACCAATCTAAAGCCAGGAGCCAGAAGCTCTTCTAGGTCTCCCACGTGGGTGCAGGGGCCCAAATACCTGGGCCATCTTCCACTGCTTTCCATAGCAGAGAGCTGGATCAAAAGAGGAGCAGCTGGCATACAAGTGGCGGATTAACTTGCCTTATCACAATGCCAGCCCTGATATTACTGCTGTTAACAGTCCATAGAATGATTTTTGATAGAAATAGAAACATTGTATAAGAGGAAGAAAAGAAGTTTAATTTAAAATTTTAGTGTTAAGCTGTGCACGGAATTGAATTTGAAAGCACAGCTTGCTTACCATAAACATACATACACACATACATATATATATAAAATGTAATCAACATGTATATTTTAAGTAGCTCAAGTAGTTATCCTTTAATATATGTTTTTCTTTACAGCAAACACTGCTCATAATGGGAAAGTTAATGGCTTATGTTTTACAAGTGATGGACTTCACCTCCTCACTGTTGGTACAGATAATCGAATGAGGCTCTGGAATAGTTCCAACGGAGAAAACACACTAGTAAGAGATTTTTAAGTACCTTTTTATATGTAAATTAAAGAAATGAATCTGTGACATGTACTTTGTTTTCCTCTACATTTAACTTCACTTCTTGCCGTTGACTCACAGCTTTTAAAATACATTCTTTTATTTTCCCACCATGTGATCTAGTAATTTTCAACTCAAGACAATCCATGCCCACTACTCCCATCCACATTCCCTATACTTAGTATATGCTCACTGCTCTATACACTTCCTGTTAGGAGTATATCATATTGTTTGGATATGTTAGAGAAGAATGAAAGACTGAGAACCACTACTATAAACTAAAGTTAGAAAGTTAAATGGTCAGATTTTATATTGAATGCTGGAATAATTGTGTTTTGAAGGAACTGGAGTCTTAAGTGGCAGTTTCTAGTGCTATTTTTATGTTTGTTACAGTCCTTGCCAGATGTGTTACTGTTTGGTAATTTACAGGGTAAACTACTACAAGTTTGTAATCTGATAATAATAATAATACATGCATTATTTATTTATAAATTATATTATCTATATGTATATTATTATATTTGTCTTATATAACAAAGACTGTGCTAACATAATTAGTATTTAATATATCCACTGTAGCATATGTCTTTTTAAAAAGTATATTTTTTTAAAGATTTATTTATTTATATGAATGACTTAAGAGGCAGAGGCAGAGAGAGAGAGAGAGAGAGAGGTTTCCATCTGCTGGTTCACTCCCCAAATGACCACAATGGCTGAAGCTGGGCTGATCCAAAGCCAGGAGCCAGGAACTTCTTCCAGGTCTCCCATGCAGGTACAGGGGTTCAAGGACTTGGGTCATCTGCTGCTGCTTTCCCAGTCCATAGCAGAGAGCTGGATCGGAAGTGGAGAAGCCAGGACTCTAGCCAGTGCCCATATGGGATGCTGGCAATGCAGTCAGTGGCTTTACCTGCTAACGCCCTGCACCAGCCCATACTGTCTTTTTTTTTTTTTTTTTTTTTAATTTGACAGAGTTATAGACAGTGAGAGAAAGAGAGAGAGAGAGAGAGAAAGGTCTTCCTTCCATTGGTTCACCCCCCAAATGGCCACCACGGCCAGAGCTACGCTGATCTGAAGCCAAGAGCCAGGTGTTTGTTCCTGATCTCCCATGCTGGTGCAGAGGCCCAAGCACTTGGGCCATCCTCCACTGCCCTCCCGGGCCACAGCAGAGAGCTGGACTGGAAGAAGAGCAACTGGGACTAGAACCCGGTGCCCATATGGGATGCCAGCGCCGCAGGCGGAGGATTAACCAAGTGAGCCATGGCGCTGGCCCTGCCCATATTGTCTTAAACATCACATCAACACCATGATGATAGTTAGCATTATAGTATACATTTTGCATATGAGGAAAATAAAACATAAAATGATGAGGTAAGCTGCCTGAATTTATATAGCTAGACAGCTATGGAATTTGTAGACTCCACTCTTACTGTAATGCTAATTACATCCACACCCCTTAAAGCATTTATGTAAGTATTAATAGTAACCATTGCTATTGTTTGAAAAGGATATGGCTTCACACTCTTGCAAGCAGTTGGGTAAACCCCAAAGTCAAAAGTTGATAATAACCAACAGGGTGGAACTTCAGTCCAGTCCTTAGGTCACTGGGAGCATGCTCTTAGAAAGTAGATCTCATAAGAGGCTTGGTTATAAACGCAGAGTCAGGCCTAGCTGCTCTTTGTGCTTCATGGTTCACCATATGATGGTTCTTCTGCACACACTCTGCCAGGTGGTAGAACCAGGGGGGCCCAGCCTAGGACTGTGAATCTTTAAAACCATGAGGCAAAATAAATTTCCTTTCTTTTTATAAAGCTAGTTTTCTCAGGTATTTAGTTACAGTTACGAAAAGCTTACTAACACAATCATCTTTTCTCGTTAATAATTCTCTTTCAGATTAACCTACATGTCACTTTTTTTTTTTAAGACTTACTTATTTACCTGAAAGTCAGAGTTATACAGAGAGAGAAGGAGAGGCAGAGAGAGAGAGGTCTTCCATCTGCTGGTTCACTCCCCAATTGGCCACAACGGCCAGAGCTGTGCTGATCCAAAGCTAGGAGCCTGAAGCTTCTTCCAGGTTTCCCATGTGGGTGCAAGGGCCCAGGGAATTGGGCCATCTTGTACTGTTTTCCCAGGCCATATTGGATGGGAAGTGGAGCAGCTGGGACTTGAACAGTCTGTCGCCCCAATGGGATGCCGGCACTGCAGGCGGTGGCTTTACCCACTACGCCACAGCGCCGGCCCCAGGTGTCACTTTCATCATTAATACTAATATTACTATAATGTCACAATTGCTTATATCTAGATTACTTAAGTTTGTGCTAATCCCTCATGTTCTTTATGAGATGCTTCCCTGTCACGTCTCAGGCTAGAAACTTAGGCATTATCATTTATAATTTTTAATCTTCTACTCATATTGTATCATGTCCATGATCAGATCATGCATTCCTTTTCTCTTTGTTTAATGAATATTAGTTGAAGACTCTAAATTGCCAGACAGTATAATATAGCTGTGGATGACACCTAGAAAACTGCCGTCCTCAAGGAGCTTACATTCCAGGAAGAGGATGGAAGGCATCAGTCAATAGATGGATAGATGGGTCAGTTATGTTATAAGAATGAGGGTAAAGTAAAGAAGTACAAAGACTCTGGAATGGGAACATGTATGAGATTCTCGAGGAACAGCTAGGAGGCTCTTGTGTTAGAATAGCAGGTGGGTAACAGGAGATGAGGAGCAGAAAGAAAAGGATGCCAGGGCCTGTATAAAGTTTTGACTTTCCTCTCAATAATTTGTAAAGCCAGTAAAGCTTGAGAGGGGGAAAATGACAGGTGGCTTTGGAAAAGTAGTGTGGCATGTGTGTCAAAACTTAATGTAATAAATAGAATGGTCCAATATATAGGAATATGTAATTTGTTTATGCAGTTGTATTCTGTGCTCTCTCTCTTTCAAAGTGATATTCATGCCCTATGGATTTTATTTTATTTTACTTTATTTTATTGGCTAGAATAATGCATTTAGAATGACTAATACATTTTAAAATGGACTTGACCAAAGTAAGTCATTCATGCAAAGATGAGTAGAGTAACCCAGAAACTCACCTACAAAAGATTCAGGAAGTTGGGCTATTGATCCCGGAAAAGGTAACTTGAAGGGTAAACACACTGTCTTCAAATTTTTAAACGGCTATTAGAACAAGAAACAAATTCCATTCCTGCCATTTAGTAATTGAGGATGTTAGGCAGTATATTTAAGGTAACAACAACTCAGCACCCCCAATTTATAAATTAGGAATATTGTCTAGGTAAAACCCAATTGTAATGGTAAAATAGAAGTATATGGAGTCGCATTGTGCCTGTTAAATAATAAGCATACCATAAATAGTAATGATTTTTATTGCATATTGTTGCCTTATTAGTATTATCCCTATTAGTTAAAAAGGTATAGATATATACTTCTAATGTATGCATAATTATTTATAAATTACATACAGAAACTATTGTGAGTATGTATTAAATTTAGTAAAGTTTTACTTCTTAATTTTTTTTATAAAAAAGCAATAGAAAGTTTCATAATTTCTTCTCATACCTTAATGGATCATCTTGCAAACTCCTGTATGTGTATAAACTATACTCTGGAGACCATTGCCTCATTTAGAATTCAGAACAGAAACCTACAGGGAAGGTTCACAGAGGCAGCTGTTGGCACAAGAAGAGAAGATACAGTTTCCAAGTGTGTATTCTGGTGTTTACTCTCTTAGTTGTATGATTATCAGCCACCTTGTGACTGATAAAGTCAGGAATTGGAATCTATTATTCTTCCCTGTCCTTAACCTAGCTGTTAAATCAATTATAAGGTCTATCTATTCTTCTGTCCTACATTTTTTTATATCTGTATTCCCTTCCATCCTCACTGCTGGAGTCATCTCTGTTTAAATATTCCAATATCTTCTACCTTTTCCTAAACCCACTTCCCAGTGGAACTCTTTCAGTGATTCTTCAGTATTTCAGATCATTAGAACTGAATGCCTTTGCCCATTGTGTACAAGACCTTCATAAAGCAGTGCCTTTTACGTCACCAGTTTTATGCCTTGCCACTTCCCTGTTGTTTTCCTCTTTTCAGACATGCTGAAATACTTTAGTGGTCTTTGGATATACCATCCTCCTCCTTTCTTCCAATAGCTGCCCAGATTGCTGTCTCTGATTTAGAATACCCTTCTCCTTCCTGTCCTAACTACTTCTCAACTTTCAGGATTCATCTCAGGCGCAACCTCTCTTTTTTTTTATTTTTTATTTTTTTTTTTAAGATTTATTTATTTATTCAAAAGTCCGAGTTACACAGAGAAAGGAGAGGCAGGGAGAGGGAGAGGGAGAGGGAGAGGTCTTCCATCTGCTGGTTCACTCCTCAGTTGGCCGCAATGGCCAGAGCTGCGCCATCCGAAGCCAGGAGCCAGGAGTTTCCTCTGGGTCTCCCACATGGATACAGGGGCCAAGGAGTTGGGTCATCTTTTACTGCTTTCCCAGGCCACAGCAGAGAGCTGGATTGGAAGTGGAGCAGCCAGGTCTCGAACCAGCTCCCATATGGGATGCCAGTGCTTCAGGCCAGGGTGTTAGCCTGCTGCGCCACAGTGCCGGCCCCCACAACCTCTCTTTAAACTCTTCTAGTCTTGCATAGGTACTCCAAGAATACCCTTCAGTCACTTGTACTGCAGTGTACTGTGAGCATCACTTCATGGAATCAGAGTGTACAAGTGTACAACAGTATGGTACAGTGGTTTTTGTTACTATAGTCTAGAGTCAGTTTATGCTTCTGCAATTTCCTAGCAAAGAGACCTTATTAAAATTACTTCACTTTTTTGGTTATTTTCTTTTTATATACTAATGCTGTGTAACTTATAGTATTGTATCAAAGATTACATGAAACAATACATGTATAAAACAACTATGACATTATCTTATATGGCAAGTGTTGACATTCTGGAAATATCACCTATTAATTTTTTAACAGTCAGAGTTACAGAGAGAGAAAGAGAGGCAGAGACATAGAGAAAGAAGTCTTCCATCTGCTGGTATACTCCTCAGTGGGCCGCAACAGCCAGAGCTGCGCCAATCCAAAGCCAGGAGCCAGGAGCCTCCTCTGGGTCTCCTACATAGGTGCAGGGGCCCAAGGACTTGGGCCATTTACTACGGCTATCTCAGGCCATAGCAGAGAGCTGGATGGGGAGTGGAGCAGCCGGAACTCAAACTGGCGCCCATATGGGATGCTGGCACTGCTGGTTGCAGCTTTACCTTCTATGCCACAGCGCCGGCCCCACATTATTATTAGGCTGATGATAGACCATAAAATGAACTGCCTTGTGATCGGATCTCTGCATAACTCTACACTTTCACTTAATGACTAGATTTGTATGTCTGTCTTTGATTAACAAAGAGGAGTCAAATAAGATAGGGAATTGGATTTACCATGATACTATCACAAGTCTTCAGAATCTTCCTCCCCTGTACAAATCTCAAGGCCTGCTTTAAATACCACCTTTAAGACATCATTGCCAGTGGCTGGTGTTATGGTGCAGCAGGTTAAGCCACCACCACCGCCTGCAGTGCCAGGCATCCTGTATGGGTGTGAGTTTGAGTCCTCGGTGCTCCACTTCCAGTTCAGCTCCCTGCTAATGTGCCTGGGAAAGCAATGAAAGATGACCATGCCAACCACTTGGGATACCTGGACGAAGCACCTGGCTCCTGGCTTTGGCCCGGCCCAGCCCTGTTCTTTGCAGCCATTTGGGATGGAAGATTTCTCTGTCTCTCCCTCTCTTTGTAACCCTGCCTTTTGAATACATAAATAAATATTTTATAGTTCATTTTGAAATTTTTTCCCAAAAACCTTTTATTTAAAGTATAGAAACTTAATGTGTTTCATAAATACAACTTTTAAATAAATCTTAAAAACTAAAAAGAGATCATTGCCAATAGTAGCCTGTCTTTAATACTTACATAAAAATTTATAACACTTGCACACACTGCTTTTTATGGTAAGCATTTATATTCATAAAATGGGTACCTTATTCACCCTTCACAGTGTGTGACACCTGGTAAGCACTTGATAATTGACGCTCCTTCCTTCCTTAAGCTGTTATTTGAACTTCCTTCCTTAGGCATTGAAAAGATTAATAATTTTTGAGCCCACAAGTGATTTGATCACAGGAGTGATTTACAAAGATTAATATGACAGTTGTAGCAGGGATTGGAGGAGGAAGGTCTATGGTCAAAGGCATAAGTCAGTGAGCTGCAGGCAGATCTCTTTGCCCAGCAGTTAAGATGCTGCTTAGCACTCTTGCATCTCACATACAAGTGCCTGGGTTCAAGTCCCAGCTGCACTTGCTGCTGAGCCCCAAATGCCCACACTGACTGTTTTGGGAATTTGGGTAATGAACCAACAGGTAGAAGAGCTCTCTCTCCTCTGTTGTTCACACTCTCTCTGCCTGTCAAATAATTTCTTTAAAAAAAAAAAAGGCAACAGACAAAGAGTTTAGTAAACTGATTTCAATGTCCTTTCCCCACTGTAAACTTTCCAATTCACATTTGGGAAAGAATGTGGAAAATAGCGGAATAGTGGAAAGAATGTAGGGTTTATAGCTAAGTGTAGTGATAAACAAATGTCAATGAGCCAGTCACAGTCTGGCAGTTCATAATTTTTTCAAAGATACAGAGAATTGCTAGTGGAGAAGTATTTTAATCTCCCTCCCCCACCACCAGTATTCTATAAATGGTTGCGTGTATAGGATCAAAAGTGCAAATGAGGGAATGTTAGACTTTTAAACATGTATAGAAATTAACAGATCTAAGAATTTACTGGATAAATGTATGTCCCAGGTGCTCTCACATGCATTCTTTCATTTACTTTATCAAAATAACTTAGGTAAATGATATTTAACTACACTGAACAGATTAGGAAAATGGAACTCAAAGGTTAAATCATTATTCATAAGGGGCCTCTCCAAAAAAGTATATTTTAAAACACAAGTCTTCTGAATGCAAGTTTAATGTTTAACCTTATACATCACTGCAGCCATGAAGTAGCTAAACACATGTGCTCATTTCAGTCTGGAGGATAAGTAAGCCATCTGCAGTGTCCACAGATGGTCAGCATATATCCAGATTGCCCTCAGTGTTTTTGTTTGTATGTATACACCACACTCCCAACCAACCCCTGTAAAAGAGAAAAGGGCAAATCGCTATTTATACTCTGATATTAGCTACAGAGAAGGGAGATTTTCTGATCCACATGCTCCTCATTTCCAGATGACTAGCTGCCACCTTTATACTCCACTCCCAAGCTTCTTCTCAAAATCATCAGCAGGAAGTAAACCTGTTATTAGCCTAAAGCTGCTCGGAGTTGGATGAGCTTACAGATGACCCAGGGCTCTTGTTAAAATAAAGATTCTAAAGCAGAATTGGGGTGGAGTCTGGAAGTCTGTGTACTAATGCTTGGAGACACCCATTTTGCTACTGGGTTTGCTGACTACACCTTTGGAGTACAGTGTAGAATGGTATTTTTGTTCCAGATACATGATTATTTATATAAAGCTGAAAATATTTACAGTGCTTATTTATACTTAAACTTTGTCTTTTTTTCTGCATATGACTTACATAAATCTTAGAATTAATATAACATTATTGTAAGTATATGCCTTATCTCAGTTATTTTTGCTATTCTGGATAATGCTGCATTGAAATCCACTGGGCATACAGCTTTTTGCTGTTGAATTGTTTCCTTAAGATATAATCCCAGGAGTAATTACTAACTTAAGGGTAAGAATCTCTCTCATCTTTAATGAGTAAGGGTTGCAAGATGAAAAGAGTTGTAGCAATTGTGGTGGTAGTGGTTGCACAACAGTGTGAATGTATGAGGGCACTTCAAAAAGTTTGTGGAAGAATACATTTAAAAAAGTTTATTTTGGGGGCTGGCACCATGGCATAGCTGGTAAGGCTGCTGCCTGCAGTGCTGGCATCCCATATGGGCACCAATTCAAGTCCCGGCTGCTCCACTTCTAATCCAGCTCTGTTATAGCCTGGAAAGCAGTAGAAGATGGCCCAATTCCTTGAGCCTCTTGCACTCGTATGGGAGACCTGAAAGAAGCTCCTGGCTCCTGGCTTTGGATTGGCGCAGCTCTGGCCGTTGCAGCCATCTGGGGAGTGAACCATCAGATGGAAGATCTCTTTCTCTCTCTCTCTCTCTCTGCCTGACTTTCAAATAAATAAATAAATCTTGAAAAAAGTTTTATTTTGATAAAAAATTATTTTTTCATAATATACATTACCTGTGAACTTTATGAAGACTTCATACTTACAGTTAACACAGTAAATTTTCTGTTCCATGTGTTTTACCACAATCAAAAATTTTTTAATTAAAAGAATGAAAGGTTATAACCCCCCAAAAGAATAAATTTTTGTTATTTTGTTAAATAATAGACCATTTGGTCTGTTAAAGGAATAACCAAATTAGAGTTGCACCAACATGTTTACCTCACTTGCACCTGTACTGAGTGTCACGTTCCTTAAAATTTTGGCTAAATGATCATGATTCTTTAGGATTGTCTTAATCTGCATTTTTATTTGTAGTAAGGTGGGAATGTGAAATTTTTCCTTCCGGGTTTTGGGTCGTTTTTGTTGTGTTGTGTTTTGTTTTTTACTGTTTGCATGAAGGTATTTCAGAAAGTTTGGGAAACTGAATTAAGAGATAAGTTTATTTTCATGCATAATAATTTTGAAATCCATGCATAATTTTTTCATAGCGCACATTTTTTTTTAAGATTTAATTATTTATTTGAAAGGTAGAGTTACAGAGAGGCAGAGGCAGAGAGAAAAAGGTCTTCCCTCCGCTGGTTCACTCCTCAAGGCTGCAACTGCCAGAGCTGGGTCAATCCAAGGCCAGGATCCAGGAGCTTCTTCCGGGTTTCCCACACGGGTGCAGGGGCACAAGGACTTGGGCCATCTTCCACTGCTTTCCCAGGCCGTAGCAGAGAGCTGGATTGGAAGTGGAGTAGCTGGGACTCGAACCGGCACCCATCCGGGATGCCAGCACTGCAGGTGGCAGCTTTACCTGCTATGCCACAGTGCTGGCCCCCATAGTACACTGTTCTCATTAACTTTTTGAAGGTATGAATTTTAAAATTTTTCTGCACCAGAATAAACTTTAATTCCATTTTTCACAAAGTTGAAGGATCCATGTGGTTCCTCTTTCTTAATGTAAAATGTACTGTCATGCAGTGATTGTTGTTTCTGTTGGAACACTGAATACTTTTTCAAATTTGGAAGTCTTTTCTGTAGAATTTTGTAATATTTGAAGTAGTTCAGTCTTTGTTGGCTGTTTTATTCAGATTTAAGTAATGAGTAACTTTATGATTTTTATCCTACAGGTGAACTATGGAAAAGTTTGTAATGACAGTAGAAAAGGATTGAAATTCGCTGTCTCCTGCGGCTGCAGTTCAGAATTTGTTTTTGTACCATATGGTAGCACCATTGCTGTTTATACAGTTTACTCAGGAGAACAGATAACTATGCTTAAGGGACATTATAAAAATGTTGACTGCTGTGTATTTCAATCTAATTTCCAGGTAAGAATGATACTTAAGGGAGTTTAAAGTGTTGGGGTAATTAGCTTAGCAGACTAGTTGCATGAGCATATAGCAATTTCATTCTGAGGTATTATATATTTAATCCACATTTGAGCTAGGGTTTATTTAATGGAGGGTAGTACAGCCTAGATTGTAGATGGCATAGGATGTATGTACAAATTCGTTATTACTGTGCAACTTGCTTAGGATAAATTTTGTTCCAAAACATATGGGCTCCGTCTGTTTAGCAGTTGAAAATCTCTGGTGAATTAGAGACTGTCTTGCAAACAATATTTTGGGTAAAAAATGAAAAAATAGTGTGTATGTCTGGGTTTATGTATGAGTATGTATAAAATTTTGTTTTTTCTTGTTTTCTGTCAGTGGCTAATTAAAGGTATGCTTTTTAAGTTCTGCAACACATGTAATTGTTTAAAAGCAAACACTTATGTTTTTCATTTGTTTAATGCCCTGACCTTTCTCTTTTATGTTACATATGGAACAGATTTTTTTTTTTCACAGTACATTTGCGCAGTTTACCTGACATACTCCTTTAAATGAGTCCACTATAACAAGGTAGTTGACATTTCCCATTTTTTGTTGGTAAGGGAAAGGAAGTTCATAATAAATACTGGTAGAATGAAAACTGGATTATTAGACCTTGAAGAGACTTTTATCACCTGGTGAAACTCCTATTCGTTCATTAATACTGATTACCTAATTTTCTGCCTGGCCATAGGCCTGATTTTTCAGTACGTACCAGTGCAGCACCCATTATTAAAATATTCAAGTACATGTCTTGTTGGCTGGTCAACAACTGCAGAACGAAGCACCCCAGGGGACTACCAGCCTCACCCACTTCCCTGGGAACTTAAACCGGACCACAGCTCAGCAACTATTTGAACTCTAAGGCTAGCATCTGTCAGTTTCTTGATATACTGATATTAAGTATTTTTAGTGTTACCACTGGAAGAAGGAAACTAAAGCTTCAGAGAGTGACATGCCTTGCCCCAAGCTTGCAAATGATTGACAAAGGATGATTCTCTGTTCAAAGAAATTTTTAGAATACTCTCCCTCTTTTCTTGTCCAGAGTGACTTAAAGACACAGCCAAGATTTTAACCTAGATAATCTGACTACAAATTATTGCTTTCTGCCACATTGGAACCTCATGACAATTCAGATAAACTAGAATATATTACAAGTATGCTAAGATAATCATTCCTCACACTTCTTGGAACAGTTGGGACAGCCAGAGACCTTGGACAAGTTGCCTCCTGACAAATAATTTCTACATATGCCATGAACTCAGAAAGATTTTAATCACTACACTGCTTCAAAAAGACCCCAACTCCTAACCCATGTCACCTATTATGATTCTGAAAAAGGAACATAATTATTTCTCAGAAGTCACAGAACATAGAACTTTTATATCCATTTAGCAACAAAACTCTTTTGCAAATTATTACACAAAATTCAGCATCTGAAAATAAAATGGTAATTCTGTTGTGAATATAATAATCTGGCATCTACAGTATCAAAAATAAATAATGGATTTTAGTCAATGGAATTATAATCCATTAATGAAAATAGAAATCTGTGAGTCCACAGTGATATAAATAAGTAAATTAGTAAATTGGATGGAATGCTTACATAGCCTTAGAGTACCACCCTACAGACTATTATATACAAAGGTAGAAAAGAGTAATTTTACTTTGAAGAAGCCTGGTATGTATCACTTTGATGAAATAATCAAAGTTGACATGACAGCTAATGGCAGCATGTGATTAACTAAACCCTTGTGCTGTGAAGATTGTTACTGAGACAGTTGATGAAACTGAAATGAAGGCTAAGGATTAAGTGTATTTCTTTGTATATCAATATGAATTTTCTGATTTTTAAGCTGTATTGTAACTATTAAGGAAAGCACTCTTGTTTATAGGAAATATAGACAACTGTTCAAGGATACTAAACCTCATGTTGACAGCTTACTCTGTTATGGTTCAGGGAAAAAAACAATTCTTTTTACTGCACTTTTAACTTGAGTTTTGAGATTGTAATCTTAAGTGCTGCTGCTTCCAAACTGTCTTTTTTTGAACATCTACAGAACATCCATATCTTTTATATGTCTGCACTCAGTGTGTCAGTAGTTATTATGAATCGCATTATAAGTTTTTCTGATCAGCTTATCTTGGGTATGTATCCTGCCTTCTCAGAGAAACCAAAGTGCTCAAGGGCACTTTACATCTGAACAGCTTTGTATCATACACAGTGAGTATAACCATATACTCCAGGTTTTACAATACAGCCAATATTTGGGGTTTTATTATTAATTTTTTAAGTTTATTTATTTTATTTGAAAGGCAGTTTCAGAGAGACAGAGAGAGAGGTCTTCCGTCCACTGGTTCGCTCCCCAAATGGCCACCACTACTGGAGCTTGGCCGATCCAGAGCCAAGAGCTTCTTCCTGATCTACCACACGGGTGCAGGGGCCCAAACACTTGGGCCATCTTCTGCTGCTTTCTCAGGCCATGGCAGAGTCATGGTAGAGCAGCCAGGACTCAAACCGGCGCCCATATGATGCAGGCACTGCAGGTGGCGGCTTTACACACTATGCCACAGTGCTGGCCCCTAGTTGTTGTTGTTGTTTTAAGGAGAAAAGGATTAAATTTTGTTAACACATGAGATCTATGATACATCCTAATAAAACAATAATAAATGTGAATCCTGATCACTAACAGGGCGTTGTGATTATTTTAATTAGACCCTCCTCTCTAATAACTGTCCTCTCCCCACTTTCAAGAATAAGAGTAATTTTTTCATCAGTCTTGCTATACAAAACCATTGTCATTCAATGAAATAGGTGGCCATCACTTCCCCTGCATTATTTCTCCCAAATAATAAGTTAAGTAAAAAGTCCAGTCATCTAAAATCTTAGACTGCTTTTCGTTATAAGTAACTTCATTATCTTATTTTCTCTTTATCTCCAACCCTAATTATATAAATGATACTAAACATTCCCATGTCTCAAATTTTTTTTAAAGACTTATTTATTTTATTTGAAAGAGTTACACAGAGAGAGAAGACGAGGTAGAGAGAGAGAGAGGTCTTCCATCCGTTGGTTCACTCCCCAGTTGGCCACAATGGCCAGAGCTGCGCTAATCAGGAGCCAGGAGCTTCCTCCAGGTCTCCCTCACGTGTACAGGGGCTCAAGAACTTGGGCAATCTTCCAGTGCTTTCTCAGGCCATAGCCGAGAGCTGCATCAGAAGTGGAGCAGCCAGGACTCAAACCAGCGCTCATGGGATGCTGGCACTGCAGGCGGCAGCTTTATGCTGGCCCCTCAAATTATTTTTGAGATACATAGTAGTAAAGCTAAATGGTTGCATAACCAGAGTGGGGTGGGGAAGAGCTTATTGTTAATGATATTTATGTAGAAATACAGAAATATATTTGTGAGGGCAAAAATTCACATAGCTGTTCAAGGTTTTAGAAATTCTAAACATTCTGTTGCTTTTTCTTTTTAGTCCTTTACCCTTTGCACTAAAGTTTTATTATTATTGATCTGTTTTATATTTTCTCTTGAAATTATTTCTTTATATCCTCCTCTTTGACCTTATGAGTATTTTTCCATGCCATTACTCTTCCAATACAATTTTTTCCTATTACACTGATGAAGAAACTGATACTGGTGACTTGGACAAGATCTCATAGTCAAATAGAGAATTGAAATTATCAGGTTTTTTTTTTTAAGATTTATTTATTTTTGTTTGAAAGGCAGAGTTACAGAGAGAGAGATCTTCCATCAACTGGTTCATTCCCCAAGTGGTCGAAACAGCTGGAGCTGGGCCAGTCTGAAGCCAGGAGCCAGGAGCTTCATCCTGGTCTCACACGTGGGTGCAGGGCCCCAAGTTTTAGGCCATATTCCACAGCTTTCCCAGGCATATTAGCAGGAAGCTGGATCGTAAATGGAGCAACCAGGACTTGAACCAGCACCCAAATGGGACATAGGTGTTGCGGGCAGCAGTTTTACCTGCTATGCCACAACGCCAGCCCTTAAAAATCAATTTTAATGACTGTGTACTGTTATATCACATGAATACATCATCAGTAATAATTATCCTTCTATTCTTGGGTAATCAGTTCTATTTTTTTGTCATTATAAATATTTCACTGATGATATCCTTGAATTTCATGTGTGACTTCAGCATAACTTCCTAGAAATACATAGAAAACTTTGTGATATATACTGAGAGCTTATCCTCTAGAAAAGATTGTACCAGTGTACATCCCCTGAATTTCACTGCCCCATAGAGATGTATTCATTTGTAGACAATTTAACATGTTCCCTTAGTTTTGCTGGGGAGAGGAGTGAGCATCATTCAGCCATGAGCAAACAACATATCCTTAAAGACAATTACAAATACTGTGCATCAATCCAAGCTTAATATTATGAAAGAAACATTGTCAACTGGCACAGGGACTGGGGCTTCAGCCTGTTCTGTTGAATACCAGCCGGTTATGCAGCTATAAGCTAAATAAAACATACTGTGAACTTTCATCCTGTTTTAGTAGAAACTCATATCATTTCTTCATTGAAGTCACTATTGTGATTCAGTTATTGATAGAGAAGGCCAAATTACTTTTATTCTGTCTCTAACACTTGAAATATATGGATACTGTAATCAAAGCCACTAGGATATTGATTGTTTTGTAAAATGTTTATACCATTAGGAAGCTCTGACATATCCTAATATATCTCAAAAAAATAAATAAAAGAAACAGGACATCAGCCAAGTTGTAGGGAGTAGAAATAGAATTAACCTAATTAATCTACCTTAATAATTAGTTATTGGGGCCAACACTGTGGCATAATTTGTTCAGTGTCAGCCTATGGCACTGCCATCCCATGTGGGTGCTGGTTTGTGTCCTGGCTGCTCTTCTTCCAAACCAGCTCTCTGCTTATGCCTGAGAAAGCAGGGGAAGATGGCCCAAGTGCTTGAGTCCCTGCACCCGTGTGGGAGACCAAAAGGAAGCTCCTGGCTCCTAGCTTCAGATTGGTTCAGCTCCACCCATTGTGGCCATTTGGGGAGTGAACCAGTGGGTGGAAGACCTCGCTTTCTGTCTCTCCCACTCTCTCTCTCTAACTCTGCCTCTCAAATAACTAAAAAAATTTTTCAAAAAAGTGCTATATTTTCCTTTTGAATTGATTGGCAATCATATTTTTTGCTTCCTGTTTTATAGGAACTTTATAGTGGTAGCAGAGACTGCAATATTCTTGCTTGGGTGCCATCTTTAAGTGAACCAGTTCCAGATGATGATGAGGTAAATATTGTAGAAATTTTATAGTGACATGTAAATCATAAGAAATGGCATTTTATTAACTTACTTGATGTGGAAGAGACTTGTAAAGCATTTCTTACCATTTTCGTATTGTAAAAGTAATTTGCCTGTTGTAACACATTTTGAAAATTCAGAAAAATATCAAAAAACTAGAAAAGCTTCAAGTTGAGTTAATCAGTATTAGCATTTTTATTTACTTTGTTCTTGTTTTTCTCCTGTGCATGCTTTCATTTTTTTTTTCCTAAAGAAGCCTTTGGTTTAAAGAATACAAACTTCATTGCATTTTATAAGTACAACTTTAGGAATATGGTGATTCTTCCCACCATACCCACACTCCCACCCCCTCCTCCTGCCTCTTCTATTCCCAGTCCCATTCTCCACAAAGATCCATTTTCAATTAACTTTATACACAGTAGACCAATTCTATACTAAGAGTTCAACAATTTTATGTGCATACTTTTTTAAAAACATAGTTAATATCATGCATCTTGGCATCTTCTCCCATTAGTGTTATACAATAAGCCTTTTTCTATATCATTGATAAGTAGATGAACATTGTTTTTAGTGATATAATATTCTGTCATATCTCACAATTTAAATGTCTTTTTAAAAATATTTCCATTGATTATTACAAGCAACTTCAAGTTAAATATTTGTTTATAATTTTTAGATACATTTATTCAAAAAACAGTGACAGAGGGAGAGAAATCTTCCATATGCTGGTTCATTCCCCAAATGGCCGTAACAGCTGGAGTTGAGCTGAAGCAAAGCCAAGAGCCTGGAACTCCATCTGGGTCTCCCATGTGGATGGCAGGGACCTGAATACTTGGCCTATCATCCACCATCTTCCCAAGCACATTAGCAGGGAGTTGGACCAGAAACAGAGCATCTGGGACTCAAATTAATGCTCTGATATGGGACGCCAGCTCAGAGGCAGTGGCTTAACCTGCTGCACCATAACGCCAACCCTGTCTGTTTATGAATTAATCATATTTCTGATTATTTCTTTAGGTGTAATCCTAGAAGTAGAATTATTTAGAGTTATTATATATGACATTTTGAGGCTGTTTATTCACGGTGTCAAAGCTTATCGATTTCCATTCCCACCAGTAGCTGACAGTGCCTATCTTAGAGCATAAATTAATATAATTAATAATTATATTATATTATATATTATAATAAATAATAAGAGTGAATAAAGAGCCTTAAAAATGCAGTGAGGGTAAATAAAAATGATTGACCTTGAACTCTGGCCTCAAGTGGTAGCCTCTGCTTTTTGTTTTATTTGTTGTTTTTACTTTTACATCAAAAGGTAATGAGATAAAGGTTGTCTAAAGCTAGTGTATCTCGGGGTAGATACTTGTCTGAGTGGTTAAGATGCTGGCTGGAATGCCTACATCCCAAATCAGAGTACCTGCATTTGAGTCCTAGCTCTATTCCCAATTCCGACTTCTTGCTAATATTCACCAAGCAGGCAGCAGGTGATGTGTCAAGTGCTTCCATCCTTGCTCTCCACATAGAAGACCTAGATTGGATTCTTGGCTGCTGCTTCTGCTGACACAGGCCTGGCCATTGCAGGCACTTGAAGCGTGAACCAGCAAATAGAGTTATCTCTGCCTCTGCCTCTCAAATAAATAAAAATTTTAAAATTAAATTAAAGTAGTGTATCTCCTGCTAAGGACTATTCTGACTACTGTTGCTTATCAACATTTATCCTAGTTTATATGATATAAAAAACTTAGAATCTAAAGAGATTTTATATATAATAATTTTTAAGTTGGAGAAAAAAATAGAAATATCTTAAGGTCATAATACAAACAAAGCATCTTAAATAGAGATAGAAAAAAGTTAATCAGATAACAAATTTGACATTCTGAAAACTTTTTCTTATATTCAGTTCCCTTGTGAAAATAAGACTATATCAAAAACCATATGAAAGAGAATTTTTATGGGGGATTTGTTACAATCATATAAACATATTAACAAAATATATTTTACACCTAAATTTGAAAGTTAAGATTTACAGCAGGGCCAGTGCCATGGCTCACTTGGTTAATTCTCCACCTGCGGCGCTGGCATCCCATATGGGCGCCGGGTTCTAGTCCCGGTTGCTCCTCTTCCACTCCAGCTCTCTGCTGTGGCCCGGGAAGGCTGTGGAGGATGGCCCAAGTGCTTGGGTCCTGCATCCACATGGGAGACCAGGAAGAAGCACCTGGCTCCTGGCTTCAGTGGCTCAGCACACCGGCCGTAGCGGCCATTTGGGGAGTGAACCAATGGAAGGAAGACCTTTCTCTCTCTCTCTCTCTCTCTATAAATCTATCTGTCAAATTAAAAAAAAAAAAAGATTTACAGCAATGTAAAGCCTGTGAAGTGTTTTCATTTAGCCCTAATCAAATCAAAGTCAGAAAAAACACACATTGCTAAATTTCAAGCAGCTGGGCAAATACTATTTGACTACTTTCATATTTCATCACATGGCCAATTTGGTTTATTATAGCTTCATAGCATACGGCTGCTTTGATGACTGAGCAGTCTATAGAAAGCTCACTCTAGTCAAATAGTTTGATCTAGCCACTTATTTTGCATTCTTACTTAATTATTGTATCCTGTCCTTTGGGAATTACTGTAAATCTTAAATCCAGGTCATAGCACTATTTGTTGTGATAGGAAGCATAACAATCATTTACTAAATGAAAATAATAAAAGTAAATGACAAGCTAATCTATGATTTGCATGTAGAAAATGATATTGGAAGAAAATAAATTGCTTAATTTATGAAGATAATATATGATTCTGTAGTTATTTCCTTGTTATATAGTTATAGTTTTGCTATACATTACCCTTATAATCTGGGAAAAGTGTATGATATTTCCAAATATCAAAATTGTGAAAGCAAAGTTGTTTTTTAGGTTTCCTTTCAAATAGGATTTACTTTCCTATCAACCAAGGTATAATTCCATAGGGATGTTTCTCCTGCTATGCGAAGTAAAAGAAGATTTTAAAGAAATTGAAGGGCATTTGGTGATATGGACAGGTTTTGTTGTCTTTAAGCATAAAGACGTATTTAATTGGGAGGCCAATTTATTATTCTCTGAGACATCTGGCTTCCTTTTGCCCCTCCTTCTAAAACTTGGCATGATCAAGGCAAGCTATCTATAATTATAAATAGATTAGTTGTAACTCTTAGTCACTGTTTTGCTGCATGAGATCTACAAGGTGGGTACATTGCAGTTTAAATCTGACGTCTCATCAAGAATCTTACTCTATTTTGCGTATGATCTTTAGCTGCTTTACTTACCACTTGTAGAGTGGTATTCTCACTTGCTGACATAGATAGTCCTGAGACTTTCTAGTAAGAAATTTGGAAGTTATCAAGATGTATCCCTGTCAAATGTTAAATTTTGCTTCATTCCTCCTTCCCTTTATTGGACCTGGGATAGTTCCCCTCTAAACTAATGTTTCTGTATCTCCATGAGATCTACAACTGTCTATCGGTAACACGGGAAACCTGGTGAGGTTAGACGTGTGTATGTTCAAGCATAGACAGGACGTCCACTAGGAGGAGATGTTGTAGAGATACTGAAGTCATAGGTGGACTTGATCACTGTGATCTTCAATAATATTATGCATACAGCCTTCAACAGCATTTTTCCTGCAGCTTTTAACTTCAAGTGTTTTGTTTTAATCTGTGTTCTAGCAATGAAATGTATTTCTAATACTGTGATGCACTTATATTTTTGTTTTACTGCCAATATAAATAGTAACTATATTATGATTTTCACTTATTGTTATTTCTTTGTTTACACATAGCAAAGATATTTAAACTGAAATATGCTTTGTTTTCTCTATTGAGTGTTCAAAGGAAATTAAAATGTTGAATATGTTACACCCTGGGCTTCCACAGTAGAATTAGGAGGCATAACTTTGTGTGGTGTATCTACCCAGGAAAAGTTGTCTAAATACAGAGTGAGGAAGAAGAGTTACCTACCCCAGGGCAGAATGTTTTTGGATAAACTGTTACTAAATAACCTAATTTAGTAGTTAAATTATAAGCTCCAAAAGACAGGAAAGTCAGTAAACTTTTGGATGAAAGAATGAATGAACAGACTTTAGTATGTATTATTCTTGCAAATAAGTTGAATGCTGCCAGAAATTGGTGAGAGGATAGCTGAAGTTTGATAATAGTTTTTCATCTGGATATTTGGGGTATAGTGGAATTTTCACTATACACCCAAGAGACAAGAGCTGACATTAGGTTGAATAATGTCCTCTGATCTATTTGACAGCCATAAAGAATGCCTAAATTAATGTATTGTTTTCAAATATCCTAGCTGATTCTCAGGAAATTTACCAGGAACACTCACTTTTTGTTCAGCTTTTAAAGTGTTCAAGAAAAATGGGGGAAAAATTGCAGACAGTTTTGAAATTCACACATAGCTCATTCATAATATGCATTTCCCATGAACCTTAAGACCCCTCATATGTATATGTATTTATGAGGTAACTGCTTTGAAGGAAACAGGTTACTTGCAAAAAGTCTGGTATGCCTCTATAATATAAATTGTGTTGAGTTGGAGGTATAGTTACACAGTTTCTTTCTAAGTAATCTAATTATCATTTATTTGATACATTTTGTCTTTCAACTGTATTATAAGCCTAAAATTAAGAAGTAAAAAATTAGCATCTTTCTTCTTCTTTTTTAGGCTGCAACCAAAACACAACTGAATCCAGCGTTTGAAGATGCTTGGAGCAGCAGTGATGAGGAAGGATAGTACTGCTGCGCCTCTGCTGATGAAACTTTTTAAAGGGAACTATTCATGTGTTTTTTGTTTTTTTTTTAACTGTTTGATCCATTTCTGACAGCTAAATTAGCCCTGAATTGGGGTGATTTTTTCCCCCGTGTTTTAAAATAAGATTAACATTTGCCAGAAGTCCTAAAACAACTCTGCAGTGTATTTAATCGTAACCTACCTCTTCGATCACAGCTGCTGTGGCCTGGGACAGCCCTTATTGTTGCAGTGCAAGGGCACAAGTCCTTGTGCTTCAGATGACAACTGGAGCAGATTTTGTGAACCGTAAGATGCAACCTCAGAGGACCTGCAGATGGAGGTTATCAGCACTGACTTTCTCCCTTTGGCTGAACCCCTTCAAGAATGATTTAATCAAGTATGATTGCATCAAGGGTGGTAATTGTGATTATAGCATCAAGATTATTCTTTCTTATTCATACACCCAGCATTTTACAGTAATTTCATTTAACTGACCATCGTCTAGCTTTATGTCAAACGTTTTTGGATTTGCTGTCTCCACAATCTAAAATGTTCATCATAGGAAGCAGTGGGAGGGGGATCCCTCGTTTGCTTTATTTTAATGGCATAGGCAGCTTGTACTCATGCTTGAACTCCCTTTCCATGAAACTGGTTAAGATGTCCTGCTTCATTCATCCAAGCAGAACATGCCCTGGGAGGGAATCTGGGAAAAACATGAAATGTTGTGGTAAGAGTTCTATGTTATTTTGTCCTCTTCTTGTATCTACCTAGAAATGATTATCCTGAAGATGATCTTGCATTCACTTTCTTCCTGATACTTACCAGCAGGAGACTAGTAAAAAGTTTGTGTGAGCTTGAATGCAAAGTGCACAATTGTTTAGTTTTTAAACATAATTTTTAAGTTCAGTGTTAAACTTCATATCAGACGTTTCTGGCAAAATGTTTCCTATGCATTACTTTTTATGGTTGATTTTCTAAGGCTTAGGTCATTGTACTGTTATTTATTTCCTCCTAGTTGACATTGCTGCTGACATCAAAGAAAGCTGTTAAAATTGGAAACATTTTTTAATTTTAAGAAAAAAGTCTTCTTTCAAACTGTAACTAACTATATTGTTTCTTTATAGTTATATAAATGTATAGGTTCATTGTAAATAATTCAACAGAAAAATTAAAGCATTGGTCTTCCAGAATCAACACTCTAAGGTAACCACCATTCTCCATGCATCTCTTTATGATAAATATATTTTTACATAATGGGATGTTTGGCATGCTGTTGTTACCATAGAAACCCCTATCTTCCAATATCAGTATCTCACATCCTCAGATTTCTCCTGCCACAATCTGATTTGTTAATCTGTTATATATTCTTTCATATTGCAGTCCTATGAAGATCTATGTAAAGTTGTGAAAGTACTTCAAAAAGTTCATGAAAAATGGAATGAAAAGATAAGTTTATTTTGAAGCAAATTTTTTTGAAATCCATGTATAAGTTTTTCATAATACATATTTCCCATGAACTTTTTAAAGAACCCTCATATATGAGGGGTTTTTTTCCAATTAGTCCTACAAAATTTGTTGGACTGATGGACAAGAAGCTGTAGATTTTCTTTTTTTTTTTTCTTTTTTTTATTTTTTGACAGGCAGAGTGGACAGTGAGAGAGAGAGAGAGAGACAGAGAGAAAGGTCTTCCTTTGCCGTTGGTTCACCCTCCAATGGCCGCCACGGCCGGCGCGCTGGGGCCGGTGCACCGCGCTGATCCAGTGGCAGGAGCCAGGAGCCAGGTGCTTTTCCTGGTCTCCCATGGGGTGCAGGGCCCAAGCACCTGGGCCATCCTCCACTGCACTCCCTGGCCACAGCAGAGAGCTGGCCTGGAAGAGGAGCAACTGGGACAGAATCCGGCACCCCGACCGGGACTAGAACCCAGTGTGCCGGCGCCGCAAGGCGGAGGATTAGCCTAGTGAGCCGCAGCACCGGCCAGCTGTAGATTTTAATACATGAAAGTACCTGAATGGATAGTGAAGAGGATGCCACCAGTTTACATGTTTAAGTTATAGTGGACAGGAAGCGATACAAACAGGGTTAGTGCTACACAAGACCATGTTTCTCACTAAAGAAATTCAGAGCTAAGCAATCCAAATCTTTATCTTTTTGCTAGAGTTTTTTTTTTTTCATCAAAAGAGGCTTATCATGCCATAGATCTAATTTAATCATATTTGCAGTGTCCTGATAGATTCCATTATCAAAAATTCTTTATTGGTAATAGACATTTGCCTCTGTGATTAAGTGACTGATAGTGTTGTGTCCGGTTTGAGACCCTCCCCAAAACAACTCACAAAAGGCAGGCTGAATGCAACAGCAAGAGGATTTTATTAGCAGCTAGCTGGTGCTCTTACCAGCACCTATGACATAGTGCAGGGCTGAGGCAAAAAGCCCGTCCCTCCTCCTCCCAGCATTTGTATGCTCTCTAGTCAACAAGTACATACATCACTGCACACATAGGCGAGTTCCTTATTCCTTATAAGGCAATTGCCTAAATTTATGCATTTTATTGGTGCATTTGAGCAACTTAGGGGCTAGGCGTCATACAGGAAGGCAGAAGAATCTAAATTCCAGTAACAGTTCCACTCCCGTACCCTGAGGCCTGTGTTTTCTGGCTTAAAATAAAGCCTGTCATGGAGGAACAGCGGTTCTCGCGACAGGTCCTGAAAGTTCTTAAGACCAAGATTTTAATATGTTGCCCCATATTTTATATCATTTAATCTTAACATACTACATATTATTAAGTCTTAATTTCAAATGTATTTGATCTAAACTAACTTACGGTTTGAATTAATTACTCATAAATGAACTCTACATTAGGAGTCCAGATTCCACTTCTGATTTAGCCTCCTGCTAATACACACCCTGGGAGACATCAAGTAATGGCTCAAGTACTTGGGTTCCTGCCAAACATGAGGGAGACCCAGATGGAGTTGCAGTTTCCTGGCTTTGGCGTGGCCCATCCCTGGCTGTTGCAGGAATTTGGAGAGTGACCCAGCAGACGGAAGAGCTCACTGTGCTTCTCTGTCCCTGTCTCTCTTCTCTTTCCTCTCTCCTCCCCTCCTATTCCCTGCCCTCTTCCCTGTCCTCACTTCTCCTCCTCCGCTTTCTGCTCTTTCTCTCTGTAACTCTCCCTTTCAAATAAACAAATAAAAATTTTTGAAAAAAAAATTCTTATGAGATTTCCAGTTTATTCTCTTCTGTCAAATTGAACACTTTATCCTTACTTTCATCTTCAGCAAGTAGATCTTGGTTAATGAATTGGTTCTTGGTGGTGGCACTGTGGTGCAGCATGTAAAGCCACTGCCTGCAACACTGACATCCCATATGGGTGCCGGTTCAAGACCCAGATGCTCCACTTCTGATCCAACTCCCTGCTAATGTGCCTGGGAAAGCAGTGGAGGATGGCCCAAGTGCTTGGGCCCCTACACCTGGAAGAAGCTCCTGTTGCCTGGCCTACCATAGCCATTTGGGGTATGAACCAAAAGGTGGAAGATCTCTGTCTTTGCCTACATATAACTGCCTTTCAAGAAATTAAAAGGAAAAAAGAAAGAAAAGAACTGGTCCTTGACAAGCAGCAAAATATCTGTACCTGTGTCTGCCTCTGTGCCTATGGCACCTTCTCCAAGACCTTGAAAGCAGAATGCTGATACCCTCTCCCCTGCTTTACATGTCTCATTTGTCCATTCAGAGAGTCTCAAATCTCCCCCGACATCGATTTTCTTTAAGCTATATTTATTTATTTGAGAGGCAGAGTTACAGAGAGGGAGAGAGAGAGAGAGATCTTCATCTACTGGTTCACTCCCCAAATGGCTACAAGAGCTAGAGCTGAGCCGATCAGAAGCCAGGAGCTTCCTTCAGGTGCAGAGGCCCAAATACTTGGGCCATGTTCCACTGCTTTCCAGACCATCAGCAGAGAGCTGGATCAGAAGATGAGCAGCCGGGATAAGAATTGGCGCCCATATCAGATGCCAGTGCCGCAGGCAGAGGCTTGGCCTGCTACACCACTGCACTAGCCCCCTGGCATCCATTTTCACCCACATCTGATCTCTTCAGAAAGTGTTTCCTCCCTTAGCTGTCACAGAAAAGGATCAAATTTATGGTAGTGGTTGGCGATTGAAATCACTTAACACGTCATCTCTCCTAGAACAATGCAAGGAAACTTGTGTAAACAAGTTCATGAAAAGGGAATTGAAAATTTTTTATTTTGGTACAAAAATGTTTGAAATCCATGCAGTTTTTCATAATATACATTTCTCATTAGCTTTTTTTTTTTTTTTTAAGATGTGTGTATTTCTTTGAAAGAGTTACATGGAGAGAGAAGGAGAGACAGAGAGAGAGGTCTTCCATCCACTGGTTCATTCCCCAGTTGGCCACAATAGCCAGAGCTGTGCTGACCCAAAGCCAGGAGCCAGGAGCTTCTTCCAGGTCTCCGAGACAAGTGCAGGGTCCCCAGGACTTAGATCATCTTCTACTGCTTTCCCAGGCCATAGCAGAAAGCTGGATCAGAAGTGGAGCAGCCAGGACTCGAACCTGCAGACAAATGGGATGCCAACACTGCAGGCGGATGCTTTACCCGCTACACCACAGCACCGGCCCGTCATTAGCTTTTGAAATTCCCTTGTACATTACTGTTTTAAAGCAAACTAGTCCAATTTGAATACACAAAACATTTTCATCTTTTCTCATGACAGTTATTTGGGTAAGTTACATTCAGAGATGTATTTTGAGGTCAGCATTATATCCTGTTTTTTGTGGTGTATAGCTCTACTTAGATTTTTATAAGTTTCAGGTAAATTTTTATGATTTTACAACATTTCTGGGAATAATGGGGTAATTTGAACCATCTATTACTCCCATTGAGAATGAGAAAGGGGCTGGCACTGTGGCACAAAGGTTAATCCTCCACCTGCAATGCCTGCATCTCATATGGGCACCGGTTCATGTCCTGGCTGCTCCACTTCTGATCCAGCTCTCTACTGTGGCCTGGGAAACAGCAGAAGATGGTCCCAAGTCCTTGAACCCTGCATCTGCATGGGAGACCCAGAAGAATCTCCTGGCTCCTGACTTCACATTGACACACCTTGCTGCCATTTGGGGAGTGAAACAGCAGATGGAAGACCTCTTGAGTAAATAAATAAAATCTGGAAAAAAAAAAAAAGAGAACGAGAAAATTAATTGAATCAAATTTAAGAAAAGATAAAGACATTGGAGAGCTACCAAGGAGAACAGGAGTTAAGAGTAACAGAACATTTGAAAGGAGGAACTGTGAGGTGAAATGAGCCAACATTTTATGAGAAAATCAAGTAGACAATTGATAAAACAGGAACAAATGAATAAACATTGCATATTCAATCTCTTGAGACTAGAAGGAAAAATGTGGGCATAAGAGTTTGTGAATTAGAAAAGTTGGGGCCAGTGTTGGTGGCACAGCAGGTTAATCTGCCACCTGTGATGCCAGCTGCCCATTTGAACACAGGTTCTAGTCCTGGATACTCTACTTCTGACCCAGCTCCCTGCTGATGTGCCTGATAAAGTAGCAAAGGACGGCCTAAGTGTTTGTAGCCTGTCATCCAGATGGGAGATCCAGAGGGAGTTCCAGACTCTTGGCTTCAGCCTGACCCAGTCCTGGCCATTGCAGCCATTTGAGGAGTGAACCAGCAGATCTCTCTTGTCTCTTCCTCCCTCTGTAATTCTGCCTTTCAAATAAACCAACAAACAAAGCATTCCAGTTGTGGAGGTTTATTTAAATACAGTTACTTTAGAAGCTTAGCTGCACATGGATAAGATGCTAATGCAAACACTTCAGAAAGCCAGAGATTATTTTTACTGTTGTACAGGTAATAAGATTAACAGTTCTTGGCAGCATGTTAAATATATTGTTTGACTAATTTCTTTATATACTTAATGAGAATTTGCCAGTCATTTGAATCACTGCTTCTCTACATGTAATGTATCATTATTTTCTCTGGGTATTTTCAAATGTGTTCTTTACTTTTTTTTTTTTTCTTTATAGACAGAGAGAGAGAGAGAGAGAGAGAGAGAGAGAGAAAGGTCTTCCTTCCATTGGTTCACTCCCCAAATGGTCGCTACAGCTGGCGCTGCTCTGATCTGAAGCCAGGAGCCAGGTGCTGCTTCCTGATCTCCCATGAGTTGCAGGGACCCAAGCACTTGGGCCATCCTCCACTGCCCTCCCGGGCCACAGCAGAGAGCTGGAGTGGAAGAGGAACAACCGGGACTAGAACCCAGTGCCCATATGGGATGCTGTCCGCCACAGGCGGAGGATTAACCAAGTGAGCCGTGGCGCCAGCCCCTGCTTTTGGTTTTGAATAGCTGGATATAATATATCTAGGTAATAGTTAGTTTGAGTTTATACGGTTTGGAATTTACTAAGTTCCTAAATTCCAATCACCAAATTTGGTATGATTTAGTTTATATTCTTCAAGTATAATTTTGTTTTATTCCGTCTTTTCTCTTTCCATGACTTGCTTATATGTAATTTTTTCGGAATTATAAGTTTATTTTGATGCAAAAACTTTTTGAAATCCATGCTTAGTTTTTGTGTAACATGCATTATTCATGAACTTTAAAATCTGTTTATAACTCATATTTATAGGCTACAGTGTGACATTTCAATACATGTATACAGTGTATACTGATCAAATCAAGGAGATCAACATTGTGCACTGTTATGTTAAGAGAATGTGAACATCACAGATCAGGATAACTTCCATGGTGGCAGTAAGGAGATAATTTTTTACAAGGTCCTGACACTGGAAGGCCTCCTATAAATTTACTTCTTTGAGGAATCTCTGGTTCTTTGTTCTGCTAATTTATTTAACTTAGTTTAGTGATTCCACAGCTTATGAGATATGATTGGTAAAAGCCAAAATTTACCACCAGGGAAATAATGGGGAGAACGTATTAAAAATTAGCTTTGCCTTCTGAGATGTCGAACTGGGGAAGAATTTTTACACAAAATGCTTTTGACTACTATAATTTTTACTTTTAACTGACACCTTAAAATTATACATATTAACGGATACCATGTGACATTTCAGTACATGTGTATATTATATAGTATCAAATCAGAGAAATATACGGTACATTGTCATTATAGATAGTCTCCCTACTTTGCAATAGAACACTGAACTTATAATCTAACCATAACCTAGTACTGATTAATCAGCCTTTCCCCATCTCTAACCTACCCCGTCCACTCTCCACAGCCTCTAGTAACCATCATTGTAGTTTCAACCGCTGTCAGATCCACTTTTTTTTAGATTCCACATATAAGTGAGATCATGCAGTACTTCTCTTTCTGACTTGGTTTATTTTACTTAGCAATGACCTTCAGTTACATCCATGTTGTTGCAAATGACAAGATTTCATACTTTTTTAGGGAAGTGTAGTTTTCCATTGTGTTTATGCACCACATTTTCTTTATCCCTTCTTTAGTGGATGGATACTTCAGTTGTTTCCATTTCTTGGCTGTTGTGAATTGTGCTTCAAGAAATATGGGAGTGCAGATGTCTCTTAAAGTGATTTCATTTCCCATACCCAGGATTGGGATTGCTGGATCAAATGGTAGTACTATTTTCCACAGTGTGTGTACTAATTTTCATTCGCACAATGTTCAAACATTCTCCCCACCCACATTTTCACCAGCATTTATCTTTTGTTTTTTTTTTATAATAGCTAAACTAGAATGTGGTTTTGATTTTCATCTTCCTAATGACAATGATGTTGAGAATTTTTACATCTCTCTTTGAGAAATTCTTCTTAAAGATTTATTTATTTGCGAGACAGGGAGAGAGGTCTTCCAGCCGCCGGTTCACTTCCCATGTGGCCACAGTGGCAGAGCTGGGCCAGTCTGAGGCCAGGAGCCAGGAATTTTTTTTAGATCTCCAACATGGATGCAGGGGCCCAAGCACTTGGGCCATCTTCTGCTGCTTTTATGCCAGTACCATGCATTGATTACTGTAGCTATGTTAGATATTTTAAAGTCAGGTAGTGTAATGTGTCATGTTTTGTTGTTTTTGCCCAAGATTGCTTTGGCTATTTGGGGTATTGTGTGGTTCCACACAAATCCTAGTGGGGTTTTTTTCTAGTTCTGTGAAAAATATTGGTATTTTGATAGGGATTGTATCGAATCTGTAAATTGTTTTGTACAGTATGAAATTTTAATTATATGACTTCTTCCAATCTATGAACATGGTTGTCTTTTCATTTCCTTGTGTCCTCTTCAATCTCTTTCCTCGATGTTTAAAGGTTTTCAGTGTAGAGAGCTTTCACTTCTTTGGCTGAATTTATTCCTAGAATGTTTTAGGTTTTTTGAAGCCAGTAGAAACTGAATAGCTTTCTTTAGGACTCTTCAGATAATTTGCTATTGGTGTATAACACAACTACTAATTTCTGTACATTGACTTTGTATCCTGCATCTTTGCTTAATTTGTGTATTTTAATAGTTTTTTCATGGGGTTTTCAGAGTTTTATTTATATAACAATGTCATCTGACAGAATTATTCTTAGGTGTTTAAATCCAATTGAAAACTGATCCCTGTAAAAAATAAGAGAGGGGGGAGAGGTGTAGTTTGGCACATGTCCCCCACAGACTTACACCTAAAGGTACAGCTAAAAACTTGCCATTGGAACCAAATCCCTTTAAATTGGCAGCTACTAATGCCATCTTACTAGTTAAAGTGATCGTTTTAAGTGTGTAACTGATCATAAAGATAGGAATAAGTGTCAAAAGGATCACTTAAGTAAGATGAAGTGTCTGCTAATAAGAATAAATAAAGTGGAGAGAATGATCCAACATGGGAAGCAGGCCACACAGCAGACTCATAGAATGACAAATGCCCTAAACAGCCCTCTGGCCTCAGAATCAGCCCTTAAGGCATTTGGATCTGGCTAAAAAGCCCATAAAAGCATTTCAGGCGTGGAAAGCCAAGAAACTGTGGTAAAAAATGGTGTCCATGAAAGATCTCTGTAAGTGAGATCCCAGTGGAAAGAAGGACCATCAAAGAAGGAGGTACCTGTCTCTGAAGGGAAGAGAGAACTTCCACTTTGATTATGGCCCTGTCTAAATGTCAGAGTTTGTGGACTCAAGAGGCTTCCATAGCCTTGGCAACTCATGACTAGAGCCTCGGGTGAGTACTGACGTCATAAACAAGAGTGTCAGTTGTTAAATCAACAACAGGAATCACTGTGCCCTTGCTCCCCATGTAGGACTTCTGTCCTTAATGTGTTGTACTATGTGAATTAATGGTAAAATTAGTATTCAAACAGTACTAATACTTTGAGTTTCTGTGTGGGTGCAAACTGTTGAAATCTTTACTTAATATATACTAAGTTGATTTTCTGTATATAAAGATAACTAAAAATGAATCTCGGGCTGGCACTGTGGCACAGTGGGTTAAAGCCCTGGCCTGAAGCACCGGCATCCCATATGGGCGCCAGTTCGAGTCCCGGCTGTTCCTCTTCTGATCCAGCTCTCTGCTATGGCCTGAGAAAGCAGTAGAAGATGGCCCAAGTCCTTGGGCCCCTGCACCCACGTGGGAGACCCAGAAGAAGCTCTTGGCTCCTGCTTTGGATTGGCACAGCTCCGGCTGTTGTGGCCATCTGGGGAGTGAACCATTGGATGGAAGATCGCTCTCTTTCTCTATTTCTACCTCTCTCTGCAACTCTGTCCTTCAAATAAAAATAAATAAATAAATAAATAAATAAATCTTTTTAAAAAATGAACCTTAATGAAGGATAGGATAGGATAGGAGAGGGAGTGGGACGGGAGTGGGGATAGGAAGAGTGTATGGGGGAAGAAACACTATAATCCAAAAGCTGTACTTTGGAAATTTATATTTATTAAATAAAAGCTTTCTTAAAAAAATAAGATAATGTCATCATCACACAGTAGCAAGTTTGCTTCCTCTTTTAAAATTTGAATGTTTCTTATTTCTCTTTCATAATTGCTGTGGGTAGGACTTCCAAGACTGTTGACCTTAGAGAGATCATCTGCTTTGCCTCATTCAGTATAACTGCTGGCTTATTATATATGGCCTTTATTATGTTGCAGTACACCCCTCCTACACCTAATTTCTTTAAAGTTTTAGTCATGAAAGAGTGTTACATATTTTATCGAATGCCTTTTCTGCATCTAGGGAGGTAATCATGACTTTTCTTCATTCTGCTGATGTTGTGTCTGATGCTTACTGATTTGCATATGCTGAAACATCTTTGTATGATTCCCACTTGATTATGGTAAATAAGCTTTTGGATTTGATTTGCTGGCATTTTGTTGGGTTTTTGGTTTGGGTTTTTTAAATTTTTTGGTTTTTCATCTCTGTTCATCAGGGGTGTTCACCAAGGATATTGGCATGTAGAATTCACTGGTGGTGGTGTCCTTGTTTGGTTTTGGTGTCAAGGCAATGCTGGATTAGAATGAGTTGGGAAGAATTCCTTCTCTTCTGTTTGGGATAATGTAAGATGTTATGTTAGTTCTTTCAGTGTTAGGATTCAGCAGTGAAGTCATGTGGCCCTCAGCTTTTCTTTGGTGGGAAACTTTATTCCTGGTTGCATTTCACTATTCATTATTAATCTGATTAGGCATTATATTTCTCCATGATTCAATCTTGGTGAGGTATATTTGTCCATTTAGTCTAGGTTATCAAATTTTTACCATGTAGTTGTTCATAATCATGTCAAAAACTCCTTTATATTTCTGTGGTGTCAGTTGTAACATCTCCCTCTTCATCTCTGGTTTTATTTATTTGAGTCTCTGTCTATTCCTTAGTGTAACTAAGGGCTTGTCAATTTTATGTTTTCAAAAGAACCAGATTTATTTTACATTAATTTTTCTACAGTTGTTTTAGTCTCTATTTATTTCTGCTATAATCTTTTAATTATTTCTTTCCCTGTACTAATTTTGTGTGTGATTTGTTCTTATTTTTCTAGTTCCAGGAGGTGCAGTACTTCGTACTGTTTTTGCTGTATTCTGTGGGGTTTGGTATGTTTCATTCATTTCAAGAAATGTTTTCATTTCCTTCTTAATTTCTTCCTTGAGCCATTGATTGTTCAGTAGTAAATCATGTAAGCTCCATGTATTTGTGTAGTTTGCAAAGTTTTCTTGTTACTGATTTGATTTTTGGTTTTGTTTTGTTGTGGTGAAAAAAGATATTCAATATAATTTGTTTTATAAAATGTGTTGAGGGGCTGGTGCTGTGGCATAGTGTGTAAAGCCTGCATTGCCTTAATCCTGTATGGGCACCAATTCAAGTCCCAGCTGCTCCACTTCTGATCCTGCTCTGTGCTATGGTTTGAGAAAGCAGTAGAAGATGGCCCAAGTGCTTGGGTTCCTACATCCGCGTGGGAGACCTGGAAGAAGCTCCTGGCCCCTGGCTTTGGATCGACACAGAAGGAAGCTTGCTCGCTGCTCGCTCGCTCTCTCTCTCTGCCTCTCCTCCTTTCTCTGTGTAACTCTTAAAAATAAATAAATTCTTAAAAAAAATAAAATGTGTTGAGACTTGCTTTGTGACCTACTGTATGATCTGTCCTGGAGAATGTTTCTTGTACTGTTGAAAAGAATGTGTAGTCTATAGCTATTGAATGGAACATTCTGTAGATACCTGGTGTGTCCAGTTAATCTAGAGTGCAAGTAAATTCTTTTGGTTTATTGATTTTTCTGTCTTAACCATATGTCCATTTCTGAAAATAGTGTGTTAGAGTCTCCTACAATTAAGTATTGGGGTCTATTTCTCCCTTTAGTCAGTGTGGTTTTTTTTGTTTTTTTTTTTGTTTGTTTGTTTGTTTGTTTGTTTTTTTAAGATTGTTTGATTGATTTGAAAGGCAGAGAGAGAGAGAAAGTTTCTATCTACTAAATTTACTCCCAGAATGGCTGAATGGCTAGGGCAGGTCCAGGCTGAACCCAGACGTCTGAAATTCCATCTGGGTCTCCCACATGGGTGGCAGGGACCCAGGCACCTGAGCCATCTTCTACTTTTTATCCCAGGCACATTAGCAAAGGCTGGATTGGAAGTAGAACAGCCAGAACTTAAACTCGCACTTATATGGGATGCTGGCATTGCAGGCAGCAGCTTAACCTGCTGCACCTCAACACTGGCTCCTAAAATCCATTTTGGCTGATAAAAGTGTGGCCACTCGTGCTTGCTTTTGGATTCTATTTGCATGGAGTACCTTGTTTCATCCTTTCTCTTTTCTGCGCATTTCATTAGAAGTAAAGTGAGCTGGGCTGGTGCCGTGGCTCACTTGGCTGGCATCCCATATAGGTGCTGGGTTCTAGTCCCGGTTGCTCCTCTTCCACTCCATCTCTCTGCTGTGGCCCGGGAAGGCAGTGGAGGATGGCCCAAGTACTTGGGCCCTGCACCTGTATGGGAGACCAGGAAGAAGCACCTGGCTCCTGGCTTCAGATCGGCACAGCGCCGGCCGTAGCGGCCATTTGGGGGGTGAACCAACGGAAGGAAGACCTTTCTCTCTCTTTTTTGGTCTATAACTCTGTCAAATAAAAAAATTTAAAAAAATGTAAAGTGAGCTTATTCTAACCAACATATAGTTGGGTCTTGTTTTTTTGTTTGTATTTATCATTCACTCTATTTTTACTTGGATCATCTAATCCATTTACATTCAAAGTAAATATTGCTAGGTATGTCCTATTACTAGCAATGTAATGCCATGTTGTTAACTTGTTTTTGAGTTGTAGTGCCTTTCTTTCTCCCTCTTTCAGGTTTCACTTTTGGTTAAGTGCCTTTCTATAGCAGTGTGCTTTGATTCCCTGATTATTATTCTGTTATAGATTTTTACTTTGTGGTTGCCATGAGTCTTAGAAAAGGCATCTTTTGTTTATAGCAAGCTATTTTGAACTAGTATCAATTTGATATCAATTATAAAGATATGAAAAGAAACAAAAAAGATAAATAAATAACTTTATACTTGTACTTAATTCCATCCCACATTTTGTATTTTCCATATCCCGTTTTGCATTTTAGTATATTACATATACTTAATATTCAGGATATACTTACACATTCTTATAATTACTGTTTTTGATTTTTTTTGTTGTTTAGTCTTCACACTAAATACATGAGTGGTTTATACACCTTTTTTACTGTCTGAGAGTTTGTATAGTTACCATTTACCAATGAGTTTCCTACTTTCTGATATTTTCTTCTTACTCAGTAGTATCTTACTCTTACTCTTTCAGTTTAAGGAACTCCCTTTAGCATTTCTTGTAAGACAATCTTGGTGATGATAAATTATCTCAGTTTTTTTATTTTCTTGATTTTCTGAGAATGTCTTTCTCCCATTTCTAAAGGATAGCTTTATGGACTAGTGTACTCTTAACTGTCGGGTTTTTTTTCCTTCAGTGCTGTGAGTTACATCCCACTCCTGCCTGCCTGAAGGTTTCTGTGGAGAAGTCTGCAGGCGTATGCATTGGGGCACATTTCTGTGTTATGTGCTCTTTTTCTCTCGCAGTTTGAGCATCTTCTATTTAACTTTGGACGGCTTCATTATAATATGTCTTGGGGTAGACATGGTTGAATTGAATCTCACAGGTGACCTCTGACCTTCCTGTACCTAGATAGCTGCATCTTTTTGCAGGTTTGGGAAGTTTTCTGTTAATGTATCTTTGAGTATGTTTACTTCTCCTTTGGCATTCTCAACCCCTGGGACCCAATAACTCAGGTATTTTCTCTTTTCAGGCTGTCCCAAATTTCCCCTAACTTTTCTTCTCTCCTCTTCATTCTTTTTTCTCTTCTGACTCTGTATTTCCAAATAGCCTGGCTTTAAGCTCACTGATTTCTTCCTCTTTCCTCTGTTGTGCTATTGATGCCTGCTATCAGGGTTTATTTTCATATCCTGTAGTTTTTAGTTGAAGGATTTCTGTCTGATATTTAAAAATTATTTCTATGTCTATGCCCATTCTCTCTATTAGATTATTAAATCAGTTCTCTGTGTTCAAATTACAGTTTGTTGAATTTCCTTGAAACAGCTGTTCTGAAATCTTCATCTGTGTACTTGAAAATTTTAATTTCTAGGAGGTTGGTTTCTGTAACTCATTTTGTTCACAGGTCATTTGGTCATGGTTCCTTGAATGTTCTTGACACTTGATGTGAATATCAATTGCACATTGCAGAATTAGTTATAGTAATCTGACTTTGTTTGTGGCTCTCTTTATAGAAATTCTAAGCAGCCTGCTTATTTTCTTTTTGTTGACTCTTAAGCCATTTTAGCACTAGATGGTGCCCTAAGCTCTTGTTTGTCTCAGGTTTGCTGTTGGTGTGTTGTCATTGCTTCCATCCTATAAAATGTCCTGAGCTCCAATTTGTCCCAAATCCATAGTTGAGTGTTGTTCAGCATGAACTGAAGAAGAGTATGAATAAGGGTAGTCCATCTTTACAGTCCTCTTCCTGGGCCTGGGTTAGGCCCGAATGCCTACTCTGTGACTACAGAAGCCATAAAGCTTGATCACACCTGAAGCCCACAGTTCACCGAGACCAGTGCAGCATGAGGGTAGGCCCAAGTCCATACTGCTATGGCCTGTCTGCTGCTGACATGGATTGATAGCCCAAGGCCATTGCTTTCAGCCCCAGGTGATGCTGGCTGGGATCTAAGACTGAACAGCTGGGGCAACAGTACTCCTTTAGGCACTGGCACAGGTCCAGAGAGTCTATCCATGGGCACTGACATGGGGAGAGGGGACATTAGGATCTGCTAGTGATGGATTTTACTAGTTCATCACAGAGGCCCAGGATACAGTTCTGTGATTCCTTGTTGTCTGCCCAAGTTGGAAAGAGGGTTGATAAAGGCAGTCCCTTGGCCACCAATGCTAGCAGGAAGCTGGATCATACCTGAGTCTCAGAGTCACCACGTCCGGCGCCATTTCAGGGTTGCATGTCAAGTCCAAGTGAGGATAACAGTGATATACACTGAAACAAGTGTTTCATAAGAGCACATATCTTCATTTAATGCTGGGGCAAGTCTAGAGGCTACCTCTGCAAGTACTCTAAGGGGTAAAAGTATTGGGGCTTTATCAGGTGCTGGGTCTCACAGAGGTGGGCCCAGCTCTGAGCTCCTAGGCAAGGTGTTAAGTTCCCATTCCTGCCCAACTTCCCGGTGGCTAGAATCCTGCTCTGCTGCCTCCTGGAGGTTTGGTGCTACATGATGGAGGCAGTCCATTAACTTCCTGGCCAAGGAAGGTCCAGAGACTCAGGCTGCAAGTGTGGGCCTGGTGGCAGAGGTGGTGGGGTCCTGTTCAGCTGTGGTATTTGCTGTGGCAGGCCTGGTGCTGGGATTCAAGTCTAAAGTCTGAACTGAATTTTTTCTCCCTTTCCCAGATTGGAGATCAGGCATTGCTCTCATACTGCACTGTAAGGCAGGCAACTCTTTCTTGCTCTCTTCAGTGCTCCTTTTCTTGATATTAAACCAAAGGAAAATGACATATCTAACAAAGTTTGATTGTGCAAATTGATTTTCTTCTTTTTGCAAAGCACAAATGAAGTTTTCAGTGCTTCCGAGAATTGCTATAGTAAACCTCCTTGGTTCCTCACACTATTAAATATTAAATTTATTATAATACAAGCTTATCTAACTAGTTATGTCAACAACATCTTCAGATGCTCTACAGGGGCACAGTTTTGCTGCATCTAGTTCTTTTCTTTCTAATTTTTAAAATTTCAACAATTAGAATCTAAAACAAGGGGGAATGTATGACAAATAACTGCATTGTGACCACTGTTAGTTCTCTGAGTATGAGAAGCTGCAAATGCCCTGTGTCCTCTTTACTAACCACTGCCCATAAAGATACTGGTAAACTTTGTGCTAGTAGGTTGATACACTATCTAGTTCAAGGCTCTCCCATGGCTTGGGAAGAAATGAGTGTCACAATCCTAACTTGTTATTCTGTCCCTAAAAGTACAAGCCAATATTTAAGACCAAGTTCCTCAAGCGTCTCGCGTTTTTATGCCTTGTCAGTTCATCAACAGACTTAAGCAATAAGCGTAAGTTTGTAGAACTTCTACCCATCTAGCCCTAGGCCTGGCCAGTGGCCTTGTTTCCTTGGCATTGGTGGTCAGCTCTTGAAGGCAATAAGTGATTGGCTTAAGTAATTGGCACAAGCCACTTCTCTTCATTTCATCCAATGTGGCAAGTGTTCGCCGAAGCAGTAAATGAGCTTGTTAACACCTTCTTGGACAAACACCAGCAGGAGCAGGTGAGCTGCTATTCCCAGCTGCCTCAGACGCTTAGCTCCCCAGCTTCTCCTCACCTGCACAATGGCCTCACCCACTGTGGGGTGAATTTGTGTATTTTCAAAATAAATAAAATAAGCAAATAACATACCTACTAAGTCAGGAATTGAATTATTAGCAATTCTAATTGTACTGTTGTAATATTTCCTATATATATGTGCAAAATTCTATCAGTTTAAGTACTATGGGGGAAGTTATTAGATGATTATGGATATTAAAATGGTAAGATTACTTAAATATTGTGATAAC